ATTTATTAATTAATTTATTTATTTACAGTTTTTATTTGTTTTCTCCATTAGCTTATGGTATGATTGGTCCTTCTTCATTAGATCCTGAAAGTCCAATGCATTCTTTAAGATGGATGGATACTTGGGAATTTTAATGAAAATTATTCTCCTATTTTAAATTCATAAAAAAAATATAATATATTATTTATAAAAATTATTAAAATTTAAACATATATATCATTAAATTTTTATATAAATATAAAAGATATTTTACAAAATTGTGCCAATTTTTATTCTTAATTACAAAAACCATATGATTTATTTTTCATAAATATAATATTTTTTCATAGTTTTATTTATGAAAAAAATAACTATAAAATTATACAATAACAACAAATTTCATAAAGAAAAGAGATTATGAGAAATTATACAATGAGAGATAAAAATAACATTATACAAAAACCTACGATACTGATCACGTTAAAAAGTTTCGAGTGAGCGTAGCTGCTCAGCTGATCGACCCACGTGTTGGAGTTGCGCCTCGACAACGCGACACAGTCTCAATTGTCTATTAACCGCCCGATCAAAAAGAAATCTCGAATCATTGTGAATCTTTTTTTAACTTTTAAGTTTAGTTAATCCAATCAGTTATAGACATCGATTTATTTAATATATCGAGTCTTCATTTACACCAAATCTCTCTATTATTAGTGCACTTAACCGGTGAATAATAGCACGAATTTTTAACGATCAATAAACAACTCCCGGGGATTTTTAGTCTGTCGAGCGACTACGAACGCACTCTCACGTGAATAGTTGTCAAAGTGACCACGTGTTCTTATGAATTTCCGGTACGTATTCTCGCGCCTATATGTACGTACAAAATCGCATGATTATTATTATCGATGATCGGTCTATAGAAAGATATACCAAGACTAGTGAGGTTTTTGCTTGGATTACTAGAGTGTTATTTCTTCCTAGAAACACAAATTAAACTGTGTATGAGTTTGAAAATTTTAGTAAAAAATTGTAACAGTGTATATTAATAATATGTATTAAATTTGATCGACAATCACATACTTGATTAGTCGCCATTCTTTTAACATCGGTAAAACTATTTAATTAACAATAATAAAATTCATAGAATTATCAATAATTCGCGCGCTAATTTAGATTGGTTGAGAAACTTGTTTGACGATGAAGATTTAAAATGACTATTGTTTAAAGACACTTGTTGCTATACCGAGCAAAGATAATCGGAACAGTTAACTTTATTTGTCATAGTTATCAAGCAATATCGTTTAAAAAACCTAATCTTCGATTGCATGTGAAGCATAGAACATTATGAACATGTGTAACAACGTTAATCGGATATCAATGTGTATATATATTAATACGTAAGATACAAATTGCCACGTTGCTCTCACATTAACAAGGTATTTAAATTAATCAAGTATAAATCAATTAAATGTATATTAAGTTCATGATAATTAATTTTATCGTTTCATTTTTTTAAATGAGTACTTAGCATTTTTTATATATTATTCTAAAAAATATTTGTTTAAATGTTAAATAACTTTAATTGAAATATAATTATATTATATATTATGTATTAAATTATACATGCGAAATCGGACATTAATTAATGTGTTAGCTGATAACTGTATAGATTACAAAAATGAGCTCGCAAACAAAACATCAATTAACTATTAAACTTCAATTGATTAGTATTATAGGAAATCAATTTTTTATGCATAATTTAATGCATAATGCTTGGATAATTTATTTCAAGAGAACTTATAGAACTCGAAGAATTATTTTTCTCTTGTTTTTCAATTTTTATTTATAATCAATTAATTTGTAGATCATCAGATAACTTTTATATTTTTTCCTCGTTATTACAATCTTATTATTTGAAATCATTTTTTTAATTATTAAATAAAATTTTCTTTTGATTAATTATAAATTTAATTTAATTTAAATCCTTAAATTATCATTATTTTATTTCTTAATTTTTATTGAACTCGAATTGAAGTATCTATATTTACGATTTCGAACAAATAACAATCCAATATTCCATATCGCGAAGAAATTAAACTATCATGTTTTGCAAACGCAGGAAACGCGGGAATTGGTAAATTTGACCTACTTACTTGATCGTATATATCGCGCGAATCTTCGTTAGAACTTAAAACGAAAAAATCTACTGCGAAGGTGTAACTCCTATTATATCATTTCCTTCTTAAGAATTATCATAAATTGGAATATTTCCTCATTTATGTTGCAAAATTACATGGTAATCTTAAATAATAGCACACAATTTAAAATGATTATATCATGACTCGAATTTTTTAAATTTCGAATTGATCTCACAATAAAAAGCAAAAAATTTTTTTATTTATTAAATAAAAGAAAAAGAAGATCAAAGATATATTTTATAAATATATTTTATCTGTGTAGATTGTTAAAACACATCTTCTCCGATTAGTCGTAGAAGTAGTTTGTTATGTGGCGAATCGTAGGATCTATAATATGCGAGACGTACTAGTCATTTCATTGGCATGGATTTTCGTGATAGAACAAGGTCTGTGCGGCAAACTCGAGCGAGTTGCTCATCGACCCAACAATGTTCTCGACGATTATTATGCCTATCGTCACATCTCTATTATCCACTTCAACGTTCCGGATTGCACGGTCGCTGCAAAATTCAAGTAAACTTTGATTGAAATTGAATATAAAAAAAATTCAATTCCTTTATTTTTATTGTAAAAAATAAATAAGTGTAATTCATGTATCTTAGGTTCACTGTAAAAGAAGAAAAAATTGGTGGAATAGGTGGATGTTCGGCTCGAAATGTCTCTATATTTTTGAAATCTGGCAGTCTACCATTCGTACGACCTGATGGATCGAAGATAGCAGCAAAACTTATGAAAGAAAGACGTCGATATTATTCTCTAGATATGGAAAGTAATGGATATAATGATTCGATAAGAATCGATGCACCTTCACCGGGCGATTGGTATGCCATTGCGTTTCGATCTTGGAGCGATCCTGATAATGGAAAGATTACGCAACAAGGTTAATTACCAAATTGATAAATAAATTACAAATAAAGAAGAGTTGATGTTAATGAAGTAATAATATATAATGTATATATTATTACATATTTTTATAGGACTTGGAGCATCGTGTGATACTATATTGGATGCAGAATTACTATTAGAATCTGCTTCTATAGTTTCGTCTATGGATCCAAAATGGAAATATGAGGTGCATATGAATGAAAGCATGGATTCGGCTGTAATACAATTATTAATTCCCGATGAATTCGTGGAGTCTAATTTATTATTTACATCAAGTTGCGGCGAAGAATGCATGATCGCGGTTTACGTGACCGCGGAAGATTATTTGACAGGAATGATATTGAATACTACAAATGGCACTGTATTCTTTAAGCCTTATTCAGATGCGTTTCATTATGTAACTCTTCGTTTGCTTTCTGGAAACTCTTCGAATGTATCCTTGCAGTTATTCGATAATTCGTCTACTTATGACTTGGATCAAGTGAAGTTGGTGGATTTAATGAGAAAATCCTTACCTGATTTTTTTCTCTTTGATTATGAACATCTGCAAGGAAACAGTATAAAACCATCAGCCTTTAATTTAACTTCAAATACTTTATCCGTCCTTAGCTTCGAAATCGGTAGAGTATATGATGTTGGTGGTACATTAACTATAGGATTGAAAATAGTTGACGTGAAAGATAAAGAAAAAAAGAATATTATTGTGATCGCTTGCATTTCATTAGGTGAGCAATTGAAAATTAAATGAAAAAGAAATTCTATTATTCAAGTAATTCCTGTTCTATTAGGTTATTATTCGAATATCACTGCCGGTGGAAGTTGTACACGTATGGAAAATACAACAATCGCGGACATTTATGTGAATTCCACGGAGCCAGCTACTCTTCACATTCCATTTCCAGAACCAGGAATCTGGCATATAAGTTTGAAAGCATTTTGTGTAGAGGAAAATTGCCGTTGTATCGGAACTTGTCTGAATAATACTATATGTGAAGACTGTGATTGCATGAATCCCTGTGATGCCAGAGTAGAGAGTCGTATTTCTTCATTACCTTGCATCGAAGGTCGCTGCAATTCTCGCGGGAAATGTATGCATTATATGAGTGGTGGTTTTGTATTTGCCGCATGCCATTGTTCAGGTGCTTACCGAGGTTTTGATTGTGCGGATGACACTTATGTACTCAGCAATAGCGACATAATAGTCCGAGTATTAATGTTAACATGCAGCAATCTGGCTTTCATTGCTTCTGTTTACGTGGCAGTACGTCGACAATATTTCACAGAAGCTATAGTTTACGCTGCTGTGTTATTCTTTTCAACATTTTATCATGCCTGTGAAGCTGGAGAGGACGTATACAGCGTATGCATTATGAGACTGAGTGTGTTGCAATTCTGCGACTTCTTCAATGCTCTTTTATCTATTTGGATAACATTAGTAGCAATGGCTTCGTTCGGACCGAAACTTACTGCTTTTTGTCAAATAACTGGAGCTGTTATACTCGCTATGAGTGCTGAAATGGATCGTACAGCCCTCTGGGTATTTCTCCTGCCAGCCATAACGGGTTCTGCATTGATTGGTTTTTCTTGGGGTATAAGATGCAAGAGAAGAGGTACGATTCGTTATCCATCACGTCCTTATAGGTAAGCTATTTTTCTTTAGGAATTCATAAATGCCAATATTATTTGTATTATATTAAGTGAAATTTATTTATATTCACAGAAACATTTATTTTCCGGCTGGTCTTCTATTAGTTTCCGTCGGCCTCATTTGTTACGCATTTCTGCAGACAAGAAGTAATTACTATATTGTGCACAGTTTGTGGCACGTGTGTGTCGCTATAGGAGCTATACTCCTTTTACCAAAGCGAAAGTACATGAAATAATTGTTCTTCTGTAAAATGAAAGTTATTGAAAAGTTATATTGTATTATATTGAAAAAAAAACTTGTTGCCAATTTAATGAAAAAAAAAAAGGTACAAAAATATTTCTAGCAATTAACGGTGCTCATACGGTACATCGAACAATATTACAATTACCAAAGATTTTATTCTTATAAAAATTAAATAATGTTTATAAAATAGTTGTTCTCTATCTAAATGCATATTATTAAGTAATATGAATTTTATTACATTATTCATTAATTGCTCTGATGTTGTCTATCATTTGTATAATTATCTTAAGATAGAATCGCTCGAATGGCATTATGCTTGATTGCTTGTTTATTAAATTTATTAATATTAGTTAAATTATATTGCTTAATAATGCGTTCAACAAAAGTTTTCGCTAAGGACCAAAGAATTTCTAGAATAAGCATAGATAATTACACGTATAAAATATAATAAAGAATGTTCAATATTTTTTTGTAAAAATAAGATTACAATTTATTAATCTAAATGTATCACAATACTTTATAATCTATCATTGATTATGAATTCCTCAAGAAGTGTTTTGAAGTTTAAATTCTAATATCGTTTGTTTAGTATTTGACATTTATTTTTATCGATGTTAATCTTGTAAAATTTTGTTTCATTTCTCTTAGGAATCAAAACCTCGCACGCGATTCATACATTAATAGAAATGATTATATATTTATATACATTGTAAAAGAAATTATTATATCTATATTGAATGATCAGAACAATGTATATAACAAACATTGTGTTCATATTAAAAGATAAATCGTTATACCATTTAACTCTATACGGTCTTATTTGCCTTACTTAAAGATTGTATAAAGAACACGTGTCTCTATTAGGAAAGTTGTAGTCACGTTACACGCTAAAGCGCGCGAACCAACGATTCCATCATTTTACCTGGAAACAATTTCACTTTTCACTTCATACATACAAGATCAAATAAATGTGAAAGGAAATCGTTACTATTTGTCCTTTTTAATCTATTAAAAATTGCCTGTAATTATTATTTTACTTGTATTACTTACATAAGATATAAATTTCTCGATGGGAAATTGATATTTGTGATAAATCTATAAATTATTTAATAAAATGGAACTATATAAAAACATTTTTATATAATATCTTTTGTAATATAGCATTAATTTTCATTATCATTCTATTCGTTTAAAAAGATACGAGAATTCATTATATTTTAATCGAATCAGAATATTCACTTATGTCATCAAAATCTTTGACCTCTGACATTATTATAAACTCCCAGTTCCTGTAGGCGTGGAATTTCCTGTGTTAATTGCGGCGATTGCGGTAATTACGTTTGATAAAAGGGATAACATAGTTTCCATGGAGAATCCGCAATGAGGATAAATTCGCGAACAGTTTCGACCAGCTCTCCCTGCTTCCACTGCCTCCTGTATCGCGGTTCCCTCCATAGTTGTACGGAAAATTTGATTCGTCGTAATCGTATCAACCACATGGTCGAAGGACGAAATCTTTTCATCGTTATTTAATTTATTAGCCTCTTTAACAGATGAAGAAGCTTGTTGCGAATAAGTACACACGATTCGTTGCATACAGGATGTTGTATCGATACCATGATGGGCCAGGACATCGTCCATTTTTGTCATCATTTGAGTGAAGCCGCTTTCTTCGCCTAAAATAAATATATTTTGTTAGAAAATTGATAAAATGATAAAAATTTTGATTCTATATCAATGCAGAATTAATCACTAATTATTAAAATGAAATTTAAAGTAACTTACTTCTTGCATAATGACCATAAGTACCAGAAAGGACATAAAGCAGTTTAGGAATAATGAGGATGGAACCTATTCCTATAATAGCGCCCAAGAACAATCCTCCCAAATCTATTTTTGCCGGAGCATATGTTGATATTCCGTAACCCTGCATCAATTTCTACAATTACTTAATTATTGTTTAAAAAACGAGAAGGAAAATGACTTACGCTTCCTGTGCTACCAAGATTTGTGAAACTGAATCGAGGCTCTTGACTGCGATCCGTGATATCGTTACTGTCCATGTCATTCCGTTTCGCTGAAGTCTCATTGCGAAGCTCTGCTTGAGAAGGCATAGCAAGTTGATCCTGGGACTTTGCACTTTTATCCATATAAATCATGGAACTCGGTATAAATCTGTTTACAATTTATTTCGCTTAAAGAAAGAGACTTTTACTTATAAATAGAGGACTTATTACTTAAAATTTAGAGAGATAAATAAAATAGAGAGCTCATTATTTAAGAAAAAAAAAAATAAAAAAAATCAATTGTATCTTATAAATAAAAATGTTATTTTTACAATCACTAATCAGATCTGGAAAAGAATCTTACCCTCCATCATCAAATTTCGGACTGCTTCTAACAATTGCCATTGAACAAAATAAGATGAGATTTTGAAGATTAAATAGCATCTATGAAAATAAAATTTGAAAAAAAAAACATTAAGAACATTTATTTTTTTATGATTTTATCTCCTTTGAAAGAAACATACCTTCGTAGAATTATCAAAGGAGAGCAATTCTTGAGGGCGTATCTTAATGTTTCGTTTTGAAGAAACTGAAGAATATTAACATTGTTCGTAGCATATATAGCCATGCACCTACTCCGAATCGTCACGACATGACAAACCATGGACATAATTGGAACCGGTGGTTTCGCTTTCATTGTTAGATTTCCATAGGACACTCTTACGGTCCGTGACTTGCTCGTCTCTTCTGAAAAAGCAGCAGGACGTTAAACTGTCGCTGTGAATCACTTGCGACGGACGTTATTGTCTGAGCCCGAAATAATTTATCTTTCGCAAGATCGATAAGGATCTTTTAACGTATTTTTGTTTACTTTTTTCTAGATTCATAATTTTTAGATTTCTTGAAAAACGACCACACGACATTATTGTTATGAAAAAAAAAAGGACAAGATATTATACAATATGTTATCGTTCTAATTTTTGTGATATTTGCAATATATATTTAAATTTCAATAATAAAAAAAAGAATATCTTTTGATATTTTGTTTATTAAAAATCGCAGAAACTTCGGGAAATTGGGATATCATATGTCAGTCTCGCGGCTATGCATTCGTCGTCCATTTGATTTTGAGACAAGGAATTCGTTCTGCACGTTGCTCTGGAAAATTCACGAAAGTTGTATGCATACACTAACAAACCTCACATATGAATGCACACATAAATGCACAAAAAAATGTTTCCAGTGTTTCTCAATCGTTATATGATACTAACTTTCACTTTAATTTTAATCAAATAGCAATCCATGAATGAAAATATTTCTATATATATATATAGAGAGAGAGAGTGAAAATTTTCATTGAATTTTCATTGAATTTACATGAAATGACTTTTGTGAGAATGATGAATCGTAAGTGCAAATGTAATTACACGTATGCGCGAATTTGCGGAATTAGGCGTGACGATGACCAGTATAACAGCTATGACTATGTGACAGTAATTTAACTTAGAAGTTTCTTTTAGGTTCGTTAATTCTACTCGTGAAAATAGAATTTCCTACTTGACAAGAGGGGCTGACTCTTATACAAAAACTGCCAGCAAGGATCAAGCAATCGTCATACGTATTCCTGTGTGCACTTCAATTAGTTGATTTACCAACTCTACGGTAAGTATAACAAAAAATTTTTACTTCTAATAATTTTTTTGAATTATCTGTAGTTGATATCAAATTATTTTTAGTGGGATAATCATGAAAAATTCGTTTAATCATGCTATTGCGTTGTTATTGTGTCTTTTACATTTTTCTATCTCGAAGGAGAACGTTAATAGAAAGGTAAAAAGTTCAAGAACTCATGGTAATAGTAAATTTGGAAAATATCCAAGTGGTGGATTGATATCTTTCGATTCAGATCAAGAGAAACTCAGTGTAAGATTTAATAAACAATTGTTAATAATTTTAATAATTTTATCCAAATAATAAAAATTATTGTTTCTTTTCTTTATAATTGCTAAAGATTGATTGGACGGTAACTATTCCTTTTATTTCGATACCTTTTGAACACAAAATAAAGGAGAACGGTGAAATTCCGTCATTGCTCAATGTTAATACGAAATCTCTTGGAATCGTTGGATTAATTACCACTCTGTTTAGCGTAGTTTCGCCATTATTCTCAAAACCGCATCCAGAATTTAATTACCGTAAGTAAATGATATCGATTCCCTATATTTAAATTTACTTTCTTTATTTGTTTTCATATTTTATTTTTATGCCCAAAAGGATCAATGGATAATGGCCAATGGTTAGAAATGGGAAACACTATTAACGAAATGATTTTTGGCAACAATTATGTGGCTCCGTGTATGCAACGCATTGTTTGTTCGATCGTTTCAGTGGCTACGCATTCAGAGAATCCAACAAGTGCAGACAAAATAATTGATGGATTATCAAGGTATTATTAAAATTGGAAAGAAAAAAAAGTAAAAAATTTAATATTATGAAAATATTTTAATATTCATACAGTCATAATTGGTTCAAAGACATCACAAATGGTACAATTATTCAAGATGCTGTGATTACCGGACGGAAAGGAAATCATGATTGTGCTTATACTTATAAGGAGTGTTTAATAACACCAAAATTTCTAAAAACTATCATGGACGAGTTTGGAATAGTATAATGATATAAAATATATTTTATTGTTGGATAAATATAAAAAAAATATTTTTGTTTATAATTTAAAAAATTTTTCAGAGATTTTTACTCCTCTAGTTCATAATATAAGGAAATACGTTATTATTTTAACTCACCTACTATGAAATATCTTCGCGTGCACTGCTACACGATCCAGCTGTAATCATCATTATTTTGAAACTTTCACTTTTTGTTAAACTATTGTATGCTTAATGCTTAACGATGCTTTTGTGACAAATTAACGTATTTTCGTGGTATGTTGTTTTTGCAATTATAGTATAAAAAAATATTGCTGCTCGTCATAGAATTGTCATCGTCGTATTATTTGAATTAGAACGCGAATACAAATACAAAAATAGATATTCATTTTATACTATTTATGTATTATAGCGAACTACGAGCTAGCAATTATTTTACTTTCATTTCGAGATTTTTTTACTATAATTAGTAACTATAGTTATATACTGTACAACTATAGTTGGTAATTATAATTAATTCGGTGAATTCAATTCGTCAGATAATTTCGGAGGAGATAACAATATCGCTGCTTCTGTGGAACCAGCTGCTATGGCGAGATCATACGGCGATTGATTCATTTTATCAAAACATATCATATCTACGTTGTATTCCATTAAGAATTTGATAACTTGTGTTCTATTATGCAGCGCTGCGAAATGTAATGGGGTTCTTCCAGAAAAATCTTTCTGCGAGAGTAGCGCGTTTGCCAATTGATACGATTTTAAACGTTTCACGTTTCCAGTGGTTGCCGCAATACACATTTTCTCCCCTATTATGCATGCGTTTCCGTGTAAATGTGCACCGCACTGCATTAGAATTTTAATAATCTAGAAAATTAAAATAAAAAATCCGTTGAAATTCTTTTTTCGAACAAAAAGTATAACGTTGGAATGATATTGTACCTCATGATGATCAAATTCTATCGCATCAGTAAGAGGAGTGCGATTAAATCGATCTTTGATATGAACGTTTGCACCCATTCGTAAAAGACAGCGAACAATATTTAAATCACCTTCACAACAAGCAATATGTAAAGCTGTGCGACCGTCTGCATTTTGTTGCGAAATATCTGCGCCCTAAGAAATAATATTATATGTACGTATATACTGATTTTTTAAAAAAAAATCAAATTTTTGTAGAAAAAAATATGCCAATTATATATATTTACATATGTTTTCAAGGCTTCGAGTTTTATTATGTCGCGACTTCGCACGGCGGCATTTAACATCGCAGGAAAAAGAATTGATCCCAATTCTTGATATTCTGCCGTCGAAGAGATTTTTAAAGATCTTGCAACGGCCTCCACTAGATCTAAATCTTCGAGATGTGGAGGTCGTCCTGCAGTTAATTCTCCGCGTAGATTCGTTTGCATCATTTCGAGTTTCGTTTGCATATCCCATTCTTCCTTTGACAGTACGTAAGCGAGTTTAGTCAACGCAGCTTCAGGTGTCATATCGAAACCTGATATTATACCTAAAAATTTTTTTAGAGTTTTTTTCAAATATGAAATAATTTCTTTTTTATTCGTTTCTCAATTTTGAACTATACATTTTTTTTTTTAATATAATTAATTCATTAATTTTTTTATATATTTAATTTCAACCGTATACTGTACCAGCATCGTAAAGAAATTTGGAAGGTTCATACAAATTTGAAACATGGCCCGTTGAACATTGTGTAATATTAACGATGATAACTCCGCGTTTCGTAGCTGCGGACAATTCTTTAATTATATCTTCTCGATTTGAAGGAACATTTCCTGTTCCATAAGATTGCAACACAACACCTTCAATAGGGGGTTGTAAAAATGTTTTTACCAAATCCGTGGTCATACTTGGAAATATTCGAATCAATCCAACATTTCTATTCAAAGATGTATGTACATAAAACTTTTCTAATGTACACGGTCGAAATATTGTTCGATAATTCACTGTAATGCAAACATTCATTATAATGACATTGATAAAATACACGTAAACGATATTAAAGACATTCTTAAACTACATTCGTATACGGCATATATTACATATACGCTAATGTATTTGCTTTATAACAACAGCAGTTACATTAGCACTTTAATGATAGTTTGTAGCAAAACGTGCATGCCGCAATAAATTAACACATACACATAAACATGTTAATATTACTGCATACAATCAGTAGTACGTATACATAAGTACTACTTACTCTCACTTTTTAAATATTTTGATAACTATTTCTTTGCATTTACACTTCTACTTAATGGATGAGAGAATATTTCATGAAAGCAAACGATCCACTCGAAAATAAAACCACAGTCAATTAAGTGAATTGCATCCTGTAATTGGGTCAGCTGCTAACCTTCTATATTGATGTTGGCCTTGGCCAAAAGTGGGAAATTCGGTGAATCGAACGCTTCGAATGAGGTGGCCGATATTTTGCAAGTACGATTTCCTCTCATCAAATTCGTTCCGAAGAATACGCATACTTCCGGTATGTTATGATTTGCGGCTATTATTAGAGATGAAAGGAAGTTGTCCAAACCATCGCTTCTGCTGTCAAAAATTGGAACTTGAGAGCCAGTTAAAATAACTATTTTACCCAGAGATTCAAGCATAAAAGATAAAGCAGATGCTGTATAACTTAATGTGTCCGTTCCATGTAGAACAATGAATCCATCAAAATATTCGTAAGATTGCTAAAACGATGAAAATTATATTAAACGTAATTTTTTTTAAATTATTAAAAAATTAAAAAATAATAACTTAAAAAACTTAATTTACAATATCAAAGACTTTACATATATATTCTAATTTCGTTTATGGACGTTCACATTTTTTTCATTCATTTACATACATTCCCGAAACAAGTTTTCCATTTTAATATATGTATATGTATATGTATGTATACTATAGATACATATACATTATATGGCTTCTGATTAGGCCATATTTATAGTTTCTGCTTTTTATATATGTATATAACTTATGTACATATATATATAATTTATATTTTACCTTAATATCATTAGCAATGTGTATCCAATCGTCCATAGTCATGTTACTAGAATCACAGAGTGGTGAATATTCTAATACATTATAAATGACACGTCTACTATCCGTTGCAGTCATTCTTAAAATATATATATATAGATATATATACATTATAATTCGAAATATATATTGAAATTTATTATTGATTGGTTTTATACTTACGGAAGTACCAGCGGTCCCATCGATCCAAATCGTTTTTCCGTGTATTCTCGATCGTACATATGTGGATAATTTCGTAATTTTTTCACAAAAGCGTTTGGTTTAGGTACAAGAACTGTAAAAAAAAATCGTGTTACCTTCGTATTTCTAATTAGATGGTTTCAATTTTAATTTTATATAGGAAGAAAAAAGTATTACCTCCATTTTCATTTCTAATCATGCCAATAGTACCGCCAGTATAAAGAACAAGTACATGACTTTCACGAACATTTTCAGTGGTTATACAATTGTTACAAATGTTATTTCTTAAGTGATCCATGCCACTTTCCTTATGATTATCAATATGATTTTCCACGTGCAGCATATTTAAAATTGAGCGCTCCACGTGTCACAGTACGATGTTATCAGTGCGAGATTTCTATTGAGAATGATTTGTTATACTATTTCTGTCACTGAACGTAAACGTTGAATCAAGGTCTGAAACATACATATATATTTTTCTAATTGATACATAATATTGATATATAATATAGATATGGCAAAAATCTCTGGGAAACAATTAGTTACAAAAATACATGTTTCATAATATAAGACAGAATGTGAAAGATTATTAAAACATAAAAATAAAGATTAAATGAGAAAAAAAAAAATTCTTTGATGTTCCACATTATATTGTTTCTAATTCGAAAATATTTGATACAATAAATAAATATGACATAACTATATATTCAGACTAAATTTCATCATATATCAAAGTTCTAGAAAATGATACGCATGCTTATTGGCCTTAGATAGTGTCTAACAAAATAAAGATATCATTGAATTTACAACATTAAATTGATATTGTATTGTCATTGTAATTTTTTTTATAATTTTTTAATTATCATTTATAAAAAATTCTTTATTTTTTAACATTTTTTTCAAACATATATACTATATGATATCAAGTCAATATATAAAAATATTAAAATAATTTTAAATGAAAATACAATTGATTGTATAAATATATTATATAATCTTATAAAATTTATATAAACATAAATAATCTTATATAATTATTATTTTTTTCCACAATTATGTATTTATGTAAAGCTGGTTAAGCTTATTTTAAATATATATAGAATGCAATAATTTATAATTTCAAATTTATCTTTCATATCTTTTTATATATCCAACTTTCTTAATCATTTTCAAATCTTGAATTTATCCTAAAAAATATAATTTTTAAAGAGTAATCTTATTGAAATTATTAATAATGTGCAATGTACCTTTGGAATACGACTCCATTAGCTTATCAAAGCGGAACTTAATAATATCATATGTAACCAATACTGAAGATCCGCAAATAGTTGTCATTAAATTAGCTTGTACGCCTTTATAAAAACCAAATAGGCCATCTTTTGCTATAATATTATTCATCTAATAAAATACGAAAGAATCTTATTTATTAATAAAATATTCGTTAAAATTATTTTACAATTTTCTACTAACCACATGTCGCATTGGCGGATATTCAATTGCACTACGTCCGCTCCAAAGCATTTTTTGTCTGGCCAATGTATCAAAAGGATAAGCTACAACTATCGCGCACCAAGATGATAATTGTGCAAGTAACAAGGATACTAAGAATGGTACAGTTACTGTATGAGAACTTTTATCATCTTGTAAAGAATTACTCAAATATATTCGTTTACCAATTGTATAACCACCAAAGTAAACAGACCTACAAAGTTTAGTCTAAATTTTTAATCTAAATTGTCAAATTATAAGAATAGAATTATATTTATTGCTAATTTATTGCTATTGTTATTTCATTCTATTGTATTTATTTATTTGAACAATTATTTAATAAAATCAAAAATATCGATCGAATTCTTTTAAAATAGTTATAACAATAATTCAAAAGATATTAAATTAAAAGATATAAGAAATTAAATTAAAACAAATTCATTCAATAAACATATTAATATATTTGAATTCACAATTGATAATAAAATTAAGTACTATTGTTAAGTATTATTTTAGTTTTACTTAATAACATACTTTTACTTAATATTCTTAAGTATTACTACTATAAAACCTGTACGAGGAGTGCGCGATCGCCATGTAGAACGATCCTTGATAAAAACCTCTATAACCATCGTTCTTATAAACTTTCGTTAAGCAATCTTTTAGATTGAAAAATTCCCTCTTAATAATCTTGTCATCGCCGACATCTACGCTTATTCGTGTATTGCAGAAATTAAGGGGATAGAGTATCATGGTGGAAGTGGCACCGACAGAACCACCGGTCAAAAATGGCAAAATGATGTGACTGTAAGTCCCCGATGGAATTATCTGCGTAATATTATCTAATTTACAGATGTAATATTAAAAAAAAATTGGTAAAAAATAATTTTATTAATAATCTTTTGAACGAACTCTTCGAAAAATTTCGTAATATATGTTATAAAAGGAAAAATGAATCGCTTGAGCTGGAAAATATCGACAAACATTGAGGAGATTTCCGCGCCATAAAGATAAGAATCCTTGTTCCTTAGGTATTCTAATAAATGCATTTAAAACACCAGTATATGGAGCTCGTTTCTGAATTCCTATTTGACAGCTACTCGCCTGTGTTTGTAAAATCAATTTAATCCTTTCTAGCGGCGCAGTCATACTTCTAAATATGATTGCCAAAATTCCGGAAATAATGAAAGAAGCTCCGAAATCAATTGCGACATATAACCGAGTATCTAGTCCATTCAATAGTTTAACATTAATCTTAGAATCAGATTGTGTTGTATGTTTATCTCGGTTCTCCATTGATACTACTTAAAAAGATATTTAAAAAGATTTTTCAACTTAAAAGACTTATTAAATCTTATTTGTTTAATATAATATTAACTCATTCTATTTTGCAAAATAAATTCAAATATATATTACAGACAAATATATATTAGACAAATTCAATAAATTCAAATATATATTAGACAAACTTCGTTTAATCAACTTTAGTCCATATCGCAATAATAGTTACATTCCAAAGAAATCTTTCTATATATGGACCAAAAATAATGTTTAATGCAATTATAATAAGCAACCAATCATTTTGTAAAATAATGTATATTATATATCGAATTGCGAATTAACATAAAGTTATGTATTGGATAGAAAAAAATCACTGTATTTAACATGGTTGGAAGTAACATAAGAGATAGACTTGACATTTACAGACGCCAGAAATATAGAGAACAAATGACAAAATCTATTAAGAATGTGATACAAACTATCTTACCGTGGAATGGAAATAAATCAGCTGAAGATATTTTGGCAACAACACCATTAAATGATATTAAAGTAAGGTTATGTTATTCATGACGTATACAGTTCTTTAAATATTATTACGATAATTGAACATATTTTTATATGTCAATAATATCAAATAATACTACAAAAAATATGTTTATTATATAAAAAATAATTAAAATAATATTTATTGCGTAATTTATACAATAGATCAATATAATTAAATTCTTGCAGGAGAATCAAGATATGGAAAGTACTTATTCAGATGATTCTGAAAACCAATCACAATGTACAATATTAAGAATAGTAACATATCTACTGTATTTTCTTCTATGGGCTATCTTATATATAATTGCAATTGAATATGAATTTGGAGCAATATATTTTATTGTATCTACATTAATATTTATTTGTTTAAATACTCGATCCAGACCAAAAAAACCAGGTGAAATTAGTGCTTATTCTGTATTTAATCCAAACTGTAAAGCTATTGAAGGAACACTTGATGCTTCACAATTCGAAAGAGAAATAAGATATGGTATAGGAAACATACATTAATTTAAAATAATCTAATTTATCACAGGCAAAAATAATATATGTTTTGTACTTATATATGTATAAATATTAATATATCATTTGTAATAATATAAAAATGAAAAAAATAAGAACTTGTAAACAAAAAAATTAAACTATATAAGATAAACATGTTAAAAAATATCAGTGATAATTATTGAATATTACCACAGTCATTGTAAAAAAAATTTCAAGTCTAAGCTTTTATATTTTTATATTTTTTCTATTGATCTTGTAAAAATTGTATAGCATTTTCATAACATTTTATGATCTCATTAATATGCATTAGGATTATGTTAAAAGGCTCATGATTCAATTTAAAGAATTTTATCCAATCAGTTTTAGATTGATACTGTTTATCAGGACATAGAAGAATTCTATCCAAATCCATCAATAAATCATTTAATATTCTTGTGTCAAGAGTGCTATAACAAAAAAAAAGGATAGATTCTTTATGTTTCTGAAATGTTAATATACATATAAACATATAGAAATTTTATATAATAATTTGTGAATATATTACATACTTAATGTTGTCAATTGTATCAATCTTTTCATTTAAAATTTTAATATTAATTAACAATTTATCCAAGGTTTTTTGTACTTTTTCTAAAAAAAAAATTTTTATTTAAAATTATAAAACATGAAGTATTGATATATTTCGTACCTTTATGTTCTAACAAATCAATATGGTTTATAGATTCTAATGCTTTAAAGGCAGTTTCATTGAAATAATTTGGGTTCCATTTTATTATTAAACATTCAGAGAATCTCCAAATAGTTTGAGCAAGTATTTGTGCTATTATTATTTTACGTATTTCTCTTTCATGATGATTTTCATTATATGTAATATCATTATTCTAGAAATATAAAAAAATGTAATAAAAATTCTTTCTTAAATTTTGTATTTAATGCTATTATTTACCATAAAAGATAATACTGCATGAGGTATATCTAAAGCTAGTCGGGAAGTTGTAATATTATAAGGTATATTATTTAAAGACAATAATTGATTGTTATAAGAAAACCATTTTTTTACAATATTAGCAGATTCTAGAACCATAGATTGTACTATATCTGATCCAGATACAATAAAATGACCTTTACCTGAAATTTGTTGAAATATGTTAAAAATTAATAATCCTTAATTTATTTATCATAACAAACCTTGCAAAGCTTGATGGTGTACTACAATATAAGCCACAATTTTATGAGGCATAAAATTAGATAATATTTCTGTACAAGAGTTAGAAGATCCCGAAAATAACAAAAAATAAGAGATCTACGAGGTTTCCATTTATATTCTTTTTGAATTTGATTAAAAATTTTTGCCAATTCCAAAGCAACACCGACGCCTTCGCAACTGACTGATAAAATTATATACCTATCTGAATATTTAATAGTGAGTAATATATACAATTTATACTTTTATATCTATATAAAATTAATATAAAAAAAATTAACTTACCTGATTCTCTAGATCCTCTAATAGTAGCCATAATATACGATTGATGTTTAACAACTTTTTCAATAAGCGATAAATTCGATAAAATATCATTCACTTGACTTATATCATCTTCTTTTAAATTGAAAGATTCCCATTTCCTATTTTATAAATATTTAAAAATAATAAACAATGAGATTTAAGTATTTAAAAAAAAAAAAGAATAAATATACCTTTCAAAATCAGTATCAAGAGGCGCTCTTTCTAATTGTTCGAGTACTAAACGTTGAAGATATTCAGTATTTTCTAAGCCATTTCCCGCTAATTCAAGACGCTTCTTTTCTGCACGAAATTCTATAGCCCTTTGCGTGGCAAAGCGGCCAAGTAAAAATCCGCACAATAAAGAAAGAAAACCGACAGAAAATATTAACGAAAAGCACATACGTTTTGTAACAAATTCGCTAGACTCGCTAAGATCACGAGCCATTTGAAAGCTAAGAACTCGTTGCATATTGACAATCTTGAACACACTTTTAAATAATTCAATAGCTATTAACTGTCATACTTTAGTTTTTTCAAGTTTTTTTCCACAATGTTAAATGATAATTTATTTATCGGAAAAAGTATTAAGAAACATAAATTATCATTTTTTATTAAATGATGAAAAAGACAAAATATTATATTATTAAAAAGGCAAAATTTATATTATTTAAATTAATTAAAATATATTATTAATTAATTTAATAAAAATTAAATTAATTCAAATAAAAAAATTAATGTTTTACAAAAAACAATGTTGAAAATAATTTTTTTATATTAAGAAATTATAAAAATAATAATAAATTTAAATATAATTTAAAGTTCATTTCAAAATAAAGTACGCAAAAGATATAATTCAATAAATTCAATATTCAATAAATGCAAATATTATGACTGATTTGTTGTCTTCAGTAGACCACTTACTTTAACACTGCGTGGGATAAGACTGATATATTTGTCAGTTCGTCTAGTCGACTTTCCACCCCTTTACTAACATTTCGATTATTATATTTTCAATAGACGTATTTAAATAAAATTGAAAGTAAGTTAACGATAATAAAATGTTGCATACATATAAATGATGCATATATTTATATTGCATTTACTTATTAAACTTTTATATTTACAAAAATATATTTTTTTATTAATATATATATAATATATATATATTAAATATATATATGCATAAAATAAAAAAAACAATTTTTAGTGCAAATGTGCTTATAAATATTTTATAAATATTAATAAATATTTAATTATTAATTTTTATATTAACTTTACGTTATTTAATTAAAATATTTACACGCATAATATTAATAATTAGATAAAAGATTTCTCATAGAAATATGTTTGAGTATTTTTTATACATTTAAATTTTTTTTTTTTATTAAAATATTAAAATAAAATGAATTGTATTTTAAATGATATTTATAATCGTAATATTATGATCACAATATTTGCGTCCAGCAACTTATTTTAGTAATGATGACGGTATTTCATTTATAAATAGTTTTTGATATATTATATGTATACAAGGTTGTTTAACTATAGATATGCTATTTCAAACTATATAAAAACATTTATCGATTTAATATATTCTTTTATTCATTAAAAAATTCTTTTATTATTTAAAAAAAATAAAAATAAAATATTACAATAAAATATTTATAAATAAAATATTTATATTTTTTGTTGAGAATGGACAGACATTACAAATTATTCATTTTATTATTATTTGCAGAATTTATAATCAATTGACAAAAAATATATAATAAAATTGATACACAAAATTTACAATATTTTTTTATAAAAAATGTAATGTAAAAAATAATAAAAAAATGATTCTTTTTGTATAATTATTTTCTAAAACTGCGCATGCTTATAATTTTTTACAGTTACAATTGAAATCCCTCTAGCGGAAGCGTTGTGTAAATATTTTTCCGAAGAGGAAGCATCCATAATTGATTCCGCGTTCAGTTAGAACACGTGTAAGTACTCTTCAGTAAAGTTTAGGATTTATTAAAAATGTAAGTTTTTTTCATTAATTATTCTTCTCTAATTTTTTATATTATTATATTTTATTAAATATTAAATTTACTAATAATAAATATCATTTAATAAATTAATTTAGAATATAAATATGTCGATGCTATCATGCCCAATTGACATAAATAATGAATCAGCTAATAAGGTATGTTTTAAAGTATAATAATAATTAAAATTAATCAAAATTATGTGTACTTAAAAATAATAAGAAATGAAATTGCAGAATTATAGAAAAAAAAGAAATAATTAAAAAAAAACCATGCAATTTTGATACATCAAATTTTCAATCCAGTCAATTAGGCACTGTTCCGCTTGAAAGTGTTCAAAATTTACATGCACCTATGACGACAGACTGGAAAGAGGTTTTTAATTATTAAATATTTTTTATTTTGAATATTTAACTATGCATGCTATTTAACTCTATATATTAATTTTGAATATCTATGCATGATGTATATATTGACTATATAATTTTGAACATTTATATATAATTATATATACATTTTAATATTGAAGGAAGATGTACCAGCCTATGATCCTTGGAAAAGTACTGAAAAGAAAAACATTATACGATGCTTAATAGGAGGTACAAAAACAACGAAGAAGAAATTCCAACTAGCTGAAAGACAAAGAATGTCGAATCTTCTAAAAGAATGTGAGTTAAATCTAAAAAATAATTTTGTAAGTTTTTAATTTATAAAAATATAAATTCAATTATTTTATTAAAAATGTATAAATAATTTTTGTTATATTTTTATTCTAGAAACATAAAATAAATATCTCGCAACTTATTAAAAATTTGAAAAAATTAAATTTAGGTGATATTGACACTTTAATAAAAAATATTGATATGAGTAAATTATTTATAAGCGAATCTAATAAAAATACCTTCATAAAAAAAAAATATACACAAGAAACTATTGACGAGGTAAAATAAATATATATTAAGTGTAACAAAAATTACATTAAAAAATATATATATGTAAAATGTTGCAGATGTTGATACATAAATTTAAAAAGTTGATGCTTAATCACTTGCAAAAATAAACTTTTCAAAAAGAATTAAAAATAGAAATATTACACATATTATTGGATGATTAAATGTTTTCAAAATTTTCATTACTTTTAAAACAAAATATTATAGTATAGATATATGTATATATATCTATAATATATAAAAATATATATATTATATATTACAATATATTTTTATATATTATAGAAAGGTATATTTTTATATATATATATATTTTTTATATATAAATATATATATCTATAATATATAAAAATATATATATATTATATATTACTATATATTTTTATATATTATAGAAAGATATATATTTTTATATTAATTCTTTACTATTATTATTGAGTTTAAAAAAAATACATATTGTTAAATTAATAATAAGATAAAAAGCATGCTTTTTCTTTATATATATATATATATATATGTGTGTGTGTGTGTGTGTGTTCTTTTCTGAGATATTCATTATAAAAATTATTCTATTTTAGAATTTACATTTATAATATTTATGTATTTTACTTTATATATGATATACATATATACAAATTTATAATTTGAAATCGTATCACAGTAATAAAATATTTCATAATAATTTAATATTTTATAATATTGTATAATTGTTGATACATTAAACAATAAAAAAATGTTTAACTTAGAATCAAACTATAATAATGTAATCTATGTTTTATATTATATATATTTATTCTCTATGAATTTTTTTTTTTATTAAAATTCTTAATTTTAACTCATTTATAATAAACTAATTTAAAATAGTTTGATTCTTCGTAGATATAAAAGAAATAAGTATATTATTGATTTTAAATTTTAAATTGATCTTTAGAAATTATACAAAATTATATTTATTATATAATAATAAAATAAAATAAACATATCAATTGGTTTTATATTTTATCGTATATGATATTTGTATAAAATTTCTTTAAAATATAATTTTATTTTCAACTTATGTTTCGATTATTTCCTAATAATTCTGCTAATAACCATGAAGACGATTCTTTATGATGTTGTTTTATATGGTTTCGCAAATATCTTTTTTGACCAAATTTCATGCCGCATTTACAGTCAAAAGGTTTTCCATTATGTATTGCACGGTGTCGCACAACTTCTCCTTTAACAGAAAATGTTTTACCGCAAATTTCACAAGCAAAAGCTTTAATACCTGTATGTGTAGTTTCATGATGAGTTAATCTTTGTCTGCTTCTAAAATATTTTTCACAATATGTACATTTATGAGGTTTATAATCTGTATGTACGCGATTATGAATGTAAACAGAATTCAGAGTTCGAAACATTTTTGGACAATGTTCACAGGCATATGGACGTTCACCGGTGTGAATCCTCCGATGATCATCTTTTGTTCCTTTGTTTGCAAACGCACGACCACAAATATCGCAAGCATATTTTTTTAATCCTTCGTGTACATCTCTTATATGTCTAGCGAGATCTTGTTCGATACGATAAGACTTTCCACATAAATCGCATTTGCAAGGTCGTTTATCAGAATGGACACGAATATGGCGTAGAAATCCCCGTTTTGTAAATATAATCTTTTTACACGTGTCACATTTATAAGAAATTCGATCATTAATTATTTGCTTTGCTTTATTTACAAGTTCTGTCTCGTCTGGATTTTGAATTCGATTGACATCAGAATGTCTGTTTATATGCTTTTTTAATTCAGATTTTTTTGTGAAATTTCTTTCGCATAAATTACAAGTATAACATAAAGGCTTTTCAACATCTATATTAGAAATTTGTTCATTATCTCTATTTTCTTTTTTTGTGTCATTTGTACATTCTAAAATTTCATTTTCTATATTTTTTAATTTATTATAATTATTACTATGCATCGATACGTGATATTCAAAATCTTTTTCTTGACCATGATACACTAGCTTACAATACTGACAATAATACATTTGAGCTTCATGCTCGCCGTTCATATGATCTATAAGGTACTTCATATTTACGAAGACAATATCACATTGAGCACATTGAATATATTCTATCTCCTCTGCGTTTATACTTTCGCTTTCGATCGTTGATATTTGCATAACAGCATCAGATTCAGCCTTCCACCTGCAAAATAAACATTCTGATATCATGTTATATCGAATGCGAAATTTTATGTGTTAAATTCTTTCTGTAACTCTTCAAGTAATGTTCTTGATTGAATCTTGTATTGATTATTATGAACATTTATTCGATTAATGTAGTTTTTACTATGAAATTATTTGTCACAGATATTGCAAGAATAGGATTTTCATTTGATATGAACAAAAATGTAGTTATTTAATTCTTGTTTTTTTTTTAAATTTTGATTAAATAAAAAACATTTATGAGATTTTTAAATAAAATGATTCGTGAACGTGCAGAGATGCCTTTTACATATTTAAACAACTTTTTTAAATGACTTTTCGCAAGTTTTTCGCATATTTTTTTCTTATATGAATTTTTTTGTGCTCGTTTTTGAAGACTAAACTAAATTAAATTTCCATTTTAACACATTCATTATTTCTTTCCATTTTATTATTTCTTGATTGATATTTGATTTTTTGATTTTAGTAAACTAATTTTGTTGTTTTATTGTTTTTAGTAAACTTTGAATGGGAATTATTTATTAAATGCAACTTTGTAATTATTTTTGTTTGATTGTGTTATCACACTATATACATAAATATATTATTTTTTTACATTTCTGAAAAAAATTAAAAAATTTTTTTATTTTCATCCTGCATATCTTTATTTTATTCAAATCTTTTACATTTAATATGCTATTTAAATCTGTTTATAACAATTATCAATATCGCTATCTTCATTGTAATTAAACTTTTTACAATTTATTAAATATTTACTGTTATGAACAATTTACAATACAATAAAAAAATATTTCTGATTGTCTGGAAAACTAATAAATGTACAGATTTGAATGTTTGCTGCTTATATAAATTCGAAGAAATATTTATGCAGAGCAAAATGATAAAATAGCATATTAGCATGATTGTAAAGTTTCAATATGTCTGCTTTTAATATGATTATTCAAATAACGTTTTTGTCGAAAAGCAAGTCCACATTCTACACAAATGAAAGGTTTTGTTTCAGAATGAATTAGTTTATGTCTAACAAGTTCTGATTTTACTCGAAATCTTTTCGAACATATGTCACAACCATAATTTTTTTCTCCTGTATGAGTAGTTATATGAGCTAACATTTCCTGTCTTCTACGAAATTTCTTATTACAATAAGTACATGGATGTGGAAATTCATCTGTGTGCAATTTACTATGAATATATAAAGAAGCTTTTGATTTAAATGTTTTTCCGCATGAATCACATATGTAAGGTCTTTCTCCAGTATGTGTTCGTCGATGATCTTCTCTCGTAGCTTTCGATGCGAAAGATTTGCCACATATATCGCAAGTAAAATTTTTTAATTTTGCATGTACATCCTTTAGATGCCTAGAAAGACCACCAGAATCTCTAAATTGTTTTCCACACACATGACAAGTAAACGGTCTTTCGTCTGTATGTATTCTCATGTGTCTGAGAAAGGAGTCTTTTAACTTAAAACATTTTCCACATTCAATGCATTGATAAGATTCTTGAACATTGATAGTAGTTTTGTTCTTCATATGTTCACAAGAATCCTTTAAATCTTTTGTATTATTAGAACAAATTTTACATTTTCCTTTTAATTTTTTATTTTTATTTTTTATATTTAAAGAATCTGTTGGTTTATATGTTTCATTATGTAATTTTAATTTTTCTAAATTATTTGAACTATATATTTGAGAAAGCTCTTCTTTTACAATAATATCATTGTTGTCTTGTAGTTGATCAGACATTATATTAGGTTGATCAAGTGTTGAATTCATGACAGTAATCCATACCGAATCGCAATCTCCATTGTCTGCAGGCTTTCTTTCTTGTAACTGGAACTTTTTTCTGTATGGCTTCCAAAATATATTCTGCATATCTAGGAACACTCTAAATGGTGTTCGCATATTACTGGACCTGCAAAACAGTCAATACTTGACTTCGAATTTGCAGCTATATGATGTACAAGGTTGTTCTTGTTTAATCCAATTATCAATGGTATTTCAGAAAATTAAGATTATTTTTCTTGATAATCCTTAATTTCATAGTCATATATCATTTTCTCATTATTTGTATAAATAGATTTATAAAATTGCTTGTTTTTGTATAATTATATATAAATATTTTGATTGAAAGAAATCATAATAATCCAAGTTTCATACTTCAAATTAAAAATAGTCAATATGTAAAATATTTTTTAACAATATTTGTTTCATGTATTAAAAATTTTTTTATTCATTACATAATAATTATTAAAATTGATATTATGAAAATTATATTTATTAAATTTAATATTATTTATATTGGGCATATTTTCTGCACGTTCATTATACATGCTGCATAAACTTCAATATATTAATTTATTACTTATTATTTAACTTTATTTTTTCTTTTTTTAATAAAAAAAATCATTACCTGTCTGAATCAGTAATAGCTAAATCTCTTGAAACTTCATTTTTCACAATTTCTTGCTGCTGATGCTATAATTAAAAAAAATTATAATTTGAGACATATAAGAAAATTATTTATATTATTTTTATACTTACAACTGATTCTGTTATATTAGATATAGATGTTGTATCTTGTGTAGAAGTTTCTAATCCTTCTGTTCCCTATAAAATACATATTTTTTAAATCATTTCTAAAATAGTTAAAAAATAATATATAATTATTTTTATATATACCTGTTTTTCTTGTAAAGTATCTTGCATTTCTAATAATCTTCTTTCTGCACTCAAACATCCTTCTAATAATTCATGCCATGCTAATAATGTAGCAGCACAGTGATAACATAATTGTAATGGAAGTGTATCATTTTCAGTTATCTATGAAAGATATTTTATATAAATTTAATATATGAATAATTTATATGTGAATAAAAATTATATATAAAATAAAAAATAAATACATACACATATTGGTAAATATTTATGTATTTTATTACATAGATCATGTTGTAAACCTTCTCCTTCAAATATTGGGATTAAATGATCATTGTTATTAGCACATATTCTGCATAAATTAGACCAAGAAAATTGTTCATCACATTGAGTTATTGTTGATTCTTCATTTGAAACTTCTATTACATTTTGCTGTTCAGCTTGAACATCAGTTACTACAAAGAATCCTTCTTCTTCACTTTCTAATTCAGTACGTGTATTTTCATTAACCATGTTTTTTACAGTTTGAATTAAAATTGAATGTTCTTCACACGGTTCTAATATAACAGGATTTTCAGATTCCATTATATCTATGATATTGAATGCAAAAATTAGATTAGTGATTAATTAAAAATGTAATTATATTACATAATTATATTGTTTTAAAATTCTATAAAGATATGAGCTTACAAAAAAATTAATTGTTATAAAAATATAAAAAGTGCTTTTCACACTTTGCATACACGATTAAAGTAACAGAAATTTTAAATTAAGTTTCGTTTTTGTTAAAATTTCTTCATCCTTAAAATTTTTCTTCATCCATATATAGGATATTTATCAAACCATTCAATACATTATTCCAATTTATTATTTTTTCATTTTGAATCACTTAAAAAACTAAAAAATTTATCAAATTTTTTTAATTAATAATCACTGTCATAAATCTTTACAAAGTTTTAACTCTTTACATGACATTTTCGCGCCGATTTGTTGCACTATACAAAAAAAAATAGACAAAAGAATATCGTTATATACATATAAAATATATAATTTATTTTAAACTATTTTATTAAATAAGATATTTATTTTATAATTGCAGTATCTCAAATTTCATATAACTCTTTCCGACATGATATTACCATAGACAAGATACAGAATAGATCTAACATTCAATTTTTTATTCCATACTCGAAGTATTAAGATCATATATTTTAGTATCATCCTTAATGTTACCGATTAGATTGCAGAATAAGATTCTAATGTTCATAATAGTTAAAATTAAAATTAAATTTCAATATAAAATTATAAACAAGAAATAAAATAAATATTTTATAAGCGTATATGTAATACTTTATTTTATAAATGTATTTATGTAAATTATTATGAAACAAATTGGTGATTCTATGTTATTATGTATATCTTTTTTACAATTACAAAAATTTATTTTTAGCGGCGATTACAAATAAGTTTTTATTTTGCAATTATTTCAAAATATTAGAAAAAGTTTAAGAAAAAATTAGAAAAAAACATTTTATACATATTATTTATAATTTATTTTTTATTTTATTAGATTTTTACTTATAACTTATTTTATTTAGAATCAATTTTCATTTTGAACTAATACACTATTAATTTATAAATTTGTTTCGTGATGAAAATTAATATATTGTATTATATAATATATTGAGCATTTAAAAATAAAATACTTTTTCATTAAATTATATTTACTAATATAATATTTGCAACATATTCAAAAATTTAAAAATCATTTTTATATAGTATAAATTAAATGATGAAATATAATGATACGCAACATCAGTGTTTGATATTATCTCTTCTCTTTGTTCAGATGCCAAAAGTAAAATGAACAAAAAGAATAAATAATGGAAAAAAATCAGATAATATAAGATAAAAATATGAGAATAAATGCTCCAAAATGCTAGAAATAAAATTAATATAAATAAGATCAATCAAAAGACAAGAATATAAATAAAGTAAGAATTGACCATCATTATTATTTCTTAAATATCAAAGGCAAAGTGTAAGTAAAGATCAGTGTCATTTTTTAAATACTTTCAAAAAATAATTTTTACAGATGGCGCTGATGACAATTTTTACTCTATCTTTATCCTTTTTATTTTAATATATATTTTTTTTTGTTTTATTTACGACATTTTAGAAATGACGCTGATTTCAATATTTTGTAGTAGCATTATACAATCAAAAAATTCCCTATTTTAAAACAAACAATTAAGTTAATAATTCCCTAGTTTAGTGTATATAGTTACAACTTCTTAGGAATAATGCAATAGTTAGATTGGTACTAAAATTAAGACAAAGAATATAAAAGGAGAACAAAAGGAAATCTTCATACTGAGTTACATACATTGTGTACATGTGCATCATGTATGTTTTACTACAAAGAAGAAAATACTGTTTTTAAAAGTTAAAAAAATTTAATCTAGAAACTGTTGAATAATTTAATTTTTCAATTTTGACGATTTCATTACTTATATACTTTTTACTTGTATACTTGTATACATTTTATATAAAGATTGGAGGTATGCAAATTATTAAATTTCAACTATTTTATTAAATAAGTATGACAAAAATTAGAGGTTATGTTATGTTTTGTTTATGATTCAAATTAAAATATATGATACTTCTTACTGAGTCTATTTTCCTTAATGTTAAAATTTTTCTTACTATATAAAATATTTATCATTTGCAAATAATAGTAATAATTGTTAAAAATTTAATAAATTATATATATTTTTTATTTTATTAAATAATTTTATTAAATAATATTAAATAATTTTAGTTTTTCATATATCCGTTTTTTTTCACAAAAATTATTCATTTTATATTAATTTTTATTATTTTTAACGAATTATAAACATATTACATGTTACCTGCATATATCTCTAATTTAAATATTATCTTTTTTATTACAGTTTTTTATTTCATCAATTTAAGAATTTTTAAAATATATTCTTTTAAGATATATTATTAAAAAAATGGCACATTATAAAGGAGCAGCTAGTGAAGCTGGGAGAGCAATGCAATTAATGAAAAAAAGAGAAATCGCACAACAAGAGATAGAATTAAGGAAAAAGAAAATTGAAGATGACTTAAAAATTCATAATATAGAAAACAAATTTGCAACACATTATAACGCTGTTGAACAACAATTAAAAACATCTACTATTGGTTTAGTTACCTTAAATGAAATGAAAGCAAAACAAGAGAACATAGTAAAAGAACGCGAAAGAAAATTGGCACAAAAAGAGCGTGAAAAGGAACAAGAAAAAGAAAGAGCACTTGCTGCAAAACAAGCTGAAAAAAATAACAAAAAAAGCAGATACAAGCTTTATCATTTAATTTAGATGAAGATGAAACAGAATTTTTAGAAGAAGAAACAGAAAAATCTGATATATTAAAAGATAATGATATTGGACCAATAATAAAAAAAATAAAAAAAAATCCAGATGTAGATACAAGTTTCTTACCTGATAGAGAAAGAGAAGAGGAAGAAAACAGATTAAGAGAAGAATTAAGACAAGAATGGGCTAGAAAACAAAATGCATTAAAAGAGGAAGAGATTGAAATTACTTTCAGTTATTGGGATGGTTCTGGCCATAGAAGAAGTGTTATTATGAAAAAAGGTAAAGGTTTAATTATTATTATAATTATGATATTTTTTTCATTTATTATAAGAATAATATGCTAATTGTTATTAGTTTGCACTGATTTTAGGTAATTCTATTTATCAGCTTCTTCAGAGATGCCTAGAAGTTTTAAGAAGAGAATTTAGCGAACTTAAAACGATTATGGCTGATCAGTTAATGTATGTTAAAGAAGATCTTATTTTGCCACATCATTATACATTTTATGATTTCATTGTAACAAAGGTAAATTTAGCATATAAATTTTATTTTATAAATTTACATGATGTTATTAACACATTACTTATGCTAACTTCAGGCAAGAGGAAAAAGTGGACCACTTTTTACTTTCGATGTTCATGATGACATTCGTGTTATGCATGATGCCTCTGTTGAAACAGAAGAATCTCATGCTGGAAAAGTATTGCTCAGGTATTTTATATTTTTCATTAATCAATCAAATTATATATGATTTTTATATATAAATTATTAATTATATTTCATTTCAGATCTTGGTATGAAAGAAATAAACATATATTTCCTGCTAGTAGGTGGGAACCTTTTGATCCAACAAAAAGTTATGATAAATATACAGTATCAGATAAAAATAGAAAAAAAGATAAAATTTAATGAAAAATAGATTGTATAGGAAATAATTGTACAGAACCTATCAATATATATTGTGTTCAGTAAAGAAAATTTAAATTTTAGAATAAATTTCAATTTTGTTAAATACTATATATTCAAAAAATATTAATATTATAATCAATTATAATATTATAATCAATTGAAATTTATAATTTTCAATTACTTAATTATAAGTAAAGATTGATACAATTTAAATTTCGAACTGAACATTATATTATATATCTTATATATTTAAAGTAATGTATAGAAATTTCATAAAAATACTTTATAAAAAAATATTTCATATTTATAGCGAATAATATTTTATTTAATAATTTGATAAAATAACTTTATAACGATATAATAATAACTTTATAATAATATAAAGTTAATATTAATAGAAAAAGAAAAATTATTTCACTTTATTTAATTCATTTTCAATTATATTTTACAATTGACAATGGATCCAAGATTTGAGTTTCCTTTATATCTTGATTTATCAAATTATTATCAATATCTTGTAAATTTTTTGTTGATGTAGTATTATGTATTGAAATTACATTATTTATATTAAATATATTGTCATTTTTTTTTAAAGATTCTTCTTGTTTATCAGATAAGTTTTGCTGAAAAATTTATTATTTATTAAAATAATGTTAATTAAAAAACTTTAATGAATTTTATTATTAACTTACTTTTTTATTTGTTTTTAATAACATTTCTGTTGTTTCTATATCTTTGCATGTATTTATGATATATGGATTAACATAGAAATTATCCATTGTATTATTTATATTTTCAATATAACAAGTTGAATTAACGAATTTCCATTCATCCTTTAGATAAGAAATAAAGTTTGAAAAAAATTAATCATAATTAATAATTTTATAAAATTCAACTTATTTTTATAACTTACTTCATTATCGAGATTTAAAAGACTTGTTTTATCTTCATTTTCACATAATTGCTGTTCAGAATTATTTATCTCGAATGATTTGTTAGTGTTTGGAAAATCTATTTTTGTAATTTTTTAGAATTCAATTTTTATTAGATTCTTAATTATATAAATAAATATAATAAATATATGTATATAATATATGCTATCTAAAATATTCAGCAATGATGCTTTTGTTTATATGAAAATATATTAAAAATTATTATTGAATTCTTTTATACATTATTTTTATTATTATACCTGTATTTAGTGTAGTATATTTTGGACATAAGTAAAAAAATTGTCGTGTATTTTCTGCTAGTTTGCCAGTTTCACATGGATTTGATGCTAAAATTTTTTCTAATCTTTTTCGGTTCTCACATTGATAAGTTAAAGTTTCTTCAATTGCTTCCTATATCACAATTAAAATGATTTTATTTATAAGAGTAAAAATAATTATTTTCTTATCTTATAATACGAAAACTTTACTTTTATTTTATCGTTCATTATATGTATAAGATTATCAAGATTTTCCACTTCTAAAATTTCTTTTTGTATATTCTTATCTTTTGTATCATTTAAAATATTAATGTCATGTTTCCATTCACTTTTAAGTAACTCCTCATTACATCGAAACTCTAATTAATTAATTAATTAATAATTTGATTTATCTATTAAAATCTACATAAAAAAATATTTACATTGCCTATTATTAAATAAAAATAATAAAAATGCTACGATATCCAACAAAAGAAATTTTATATTGAATATTTAAAGAATTATCTCAGATTAAATAGTTTATGTAATTATATAAATATGCATAGTATAAATAAAATGATCATATAAAATAAATATATTCTTTTTATAAAAATGCAATAATGATACAATTTAATTATAAAAATTATCTCAATATATTTGCATTTGCTTGTTCTTTTATTTGATATCGTCACTCAAGTTATTAAATAAGTTAAATAAAAGTACCTTTTTTCGCTTTCCACGAAATTTTCATTTTTTTTATTTGATCTTCTACAATTGAAAAATCACAAAAATCCTTTGTAATTGAATTCAGAGATGATTCCGATGCAGAGAGATCGGTTTTTAGAGATTCTATTGACGATGACCGAGTCAAATTTATAAATGATATTTTATCATATTTTTCAATAGTTTTCAATACAAACTGATCTTCATTATTGTTATTTTCAAAAGTATGTATAGAATTTTCTGATTTTGCTTTATTTTCAATTGAAATAAATGAATGACTTTGTTGTTCAATATTAGATTTAACCGAAGACAATGATTGATTATCAAATTTATGCGATTGCGATTGCATTTTGAATTCTTCTTATCGCTGTTATCTTCCGTGTGCAATTCTTTTCCTGATATCCATACTTCTTCTTCTTCTTCTTCTTCCTTTGGAAATATTGAAATTCGATTTATTCAATCAATGATCGCTTATTTTCTAAACTAATTATTAAATAGAAATTTCATAGAATTTGTTACTTCACCTTCTTTTTGATTTTAATAACAAGTTGAGATTTTATCGCAGTTTTCATAGACTGTTGCAATTTTGGATTGTTCGTTGTTTTGTATGTATTGGCCATCTTACTATTAAATATATCAGGATATTATAAAAATATAATTTCTTAACTTGACATATTAGAAAATGACGAATATATTTAATATTATAATATTACTATTATATAATAAATCGTAGTATAATAAAAATAGTATAATAATTGTTTTTTTTCAAGATTAATGTTATTTTCTATCTTTTTGAAAAAATGAAAAATTAATAGAAAATTGAATGTGATTATTCCCTAAATTTTTTCAAATTGTAAGTTTAACTTAATTCAATGCACGCATGTGACGTGTCCTTGAACTGAAAAAATCTGGGACAAGACTGAAACGGGTTAAAGTAACATATCACAATAAGTGAAAATAATTTGTGATTACTTGAAGTTATTATGATTTGAAATTTATTGAAAGTATTTTGTTTCGATAATTTATCAATGTAATCATATTTTAAGGATGTATGTAATTTCAATTTTGTTAATATTTATTTATTTAATTATTTTTGTAATGTTTGATTAAAAATAAAACTATCTTTGTTTATCAAATAAATTTTATCAATTATGAATGTAAAAATCGTTAAAAAAAAATGCATTATCAAATTTAATGTAAATTTATATGAATTATTTTTCAAATATATATTTGTTAGAATATATTTGATAAATTCTTATTTTAAAATGAATTAACAAAATTTTAGAATGTTATTCCTGTTTCACATTATTTGAAATCAAATATAATGAGAAATGGAATTCACATAATTTTTTATATAACAACTCTTAATGACAAATATTATTAAATATATAAATTTAACTATATTCTTTAGATTTAAAATGTTTGTTGTTATCATAATATTATTAAATTCTATTTATTATATTAATTATTTTAAATACTATTACTGTTTATTATCAATTCATGAATACAAAATGTTTTGATTGATTCATTTTTTTAAGTTTATTATTTTATATAATATTTTAATATTTTATAAATAAGTACTTAAATGCTCTATGAGACACTGCATACTGAATTTGAAATCATAACACTAGCGATGTCTATAACCAGATAGAACTTGATATATAAATAAATATATAAATATATACATACATATACATTATTTACTTGTGTAATGTGTTATATATTTAATTGGGAAATTTTTAGTATTTTTCATAGTTATAGATTAGTTAAAAAAAGGAAGAGGGGGAAAATATGACATATATATATATTTGTTGTGAAAATTTTTAAAATAATTTTAAAAGATTTCAAATAATAAAAATAAATCATTTTTATCATTTTAGAATTAATGATAATAATTTTTATTATATATGTAACACTAATATTGTTATGAAATAAAACATTATATCTTTTATGATTATAAAGTAGTAGATTTAATGCAAGTGGGATCCATATATGTAATTTCTTCTGGAAAATGATCCATAATAATAAATCTTTTTTCATTGGGTTCACTTAAATTATCCAAGAATCCAAACCAATAAATAACAAGTCCTGGCCCAAATCTATTCCAGTAACTCAGAAATTGTTCTTTAATATACTTCTGATGTATTTCTGTATTTCCAAATCTTGCCTTAGATTCTATCCAGTTAATTACAAAGCCATTTACTGCAATTGGTACTTCAAGTTTAAAATCTGGAGTTTTGTCATATCCTCTTGATCTCAAGTGTTCCTCATTACGAAATGCAAGATTTCGTTCTGTCAAGTAATTTTGTAATTTTAATTCATATTCCTGACCTACAGAACTATAGATTTTATATATAAAAACAACGAATAAAATAAGTATGATTATTTTATATAAATGTATAACAAATGTGATTATTTTAATATATAACACAATACATACGTTCCAACAGCATCTGATATAGGTCCATACAAATTATCATATAATATGCACTGTAAAACATTATTTAACTGTTATATAGAATTATTTTACTTCTTAAAATATAAAAAAAAATAAGATAAAAAAAGATAATATTAATAAATTTTAAATTACCAAATAGACTTCATATGCAAGATCTTTGTCCTGTATAAGAGTAGTATCCTTAAATAATTTGCTAACTTCATTCCTAGAGACTAAAAATATATTTTTTTTTATGATTGTTCAAAAAGAATTATAAGAATTATAAATATTTTTATAATAGTATTTAAATTACCATTAAATTCATCTTTTCCACAATGTTTTTCAAGAACATTTCTAGCTAACAATGCAGGAGGTGCACCAATATCTTTTGCCATTTTCAATAAAATTCCAACAGGTTCTCCATTTTGTACAGCTTCTATATAACTATTATTTAAATTATTTAATTATATAGTTATATCTTATATTAATATACTGATATGATACTTACGTATCATAATAATTTTTATTATTACCAAATAATTTGCTATGATTGACTTTCATCTTATGTTGTACTTCTAAAGATAATATACTATACAATGTATATACTGGAATGCTAAATAAAATAAAAACAAATATTTTATCATAGCAAATCTAAAGTGAATTGTTTTTAATAAAACAATCTTACTCATTATATTTTTCTTTTAAAACATCTCTACAATCTTTTGATAAGCCTCGAAATTTTCGAATTGTTGTTACTATATCATTATATAATTCAACTTTCATTTTCGATTATTATATTTTAAATTCAAAATAAATTTCTTTAAATTCAATTTAACTTTTATTCATTATTACTATATAATATTTATATTTATGTCGATATATATACATATACTTTCAGATCATTCATTTGAAGTTTGCCTTTCATTCAATTTTTGAGGGAAATTTAAATTATTTGAATCAATATTAATTTAATTTTTTAATTATTTTTTTTCTTTTTTGAAATAAATTATAAAAATACTTATAATTAAACTTTACATTTATTTTTAAAAACATAAATTATGATTTAATATTTCTACAATTTATTTTAGAATAATAACTAAATTGGAAACGAATACATTAAAAAGTTGCTAGTAGCTACTTTCACTTTATATAAGAAGAGTTGTAGGTTAGTAAGTTTAAAGAATTGCAAAGTTTAGAAGTTATTTTATTTCGGATTTTTAAATCTAAAATTTATAGAATATCGAATTATTGAATTATTTTGTTAAAAAAAAAAATAGAATTTATATAATAGTAAAATTTAAAAAGAAAAAACTAAACGCACTGAAAACATCTAAATATTTCTATTAATATAATTTATTCAAAATTAATGTGAAATCATATGTAAAGTATACCAGTTTATTTATATTCAATTTTTAATTATTAATTTTTTATTTTAATTTTATGAAAATTATGAATAAAAATAAAAAATCAACAAAGAAATGTAATGTACAAGAAGGAAATAGTACAACAAACAATATACAAGAAGGTAATTAATATAATTTCTTTAAATATAACAATTGATTAATAATTTTTAATAATATAAATTTTGTGTTGTAGTTTCAGTTAAAAAAAATATGAAAGATGATTTGGGAAATGATTCTCCTCAACATTCCTATGAATCACATGTGTCTGGTCATAGTACACCAATTCGAAAAAAGGAATATGTTATTGATATAGAAGATTCTCCTGAATTAAATTATCGTTGTAGTCCAATTTCAATGCCTTGTACTCAAGATGGAGGCAATGAAATTGCTTGGGATTGGCAAACTCCTGTTAATAAAAATTCTTATGATAAATCTAAATCATCAAATAAACTTATTGAAACTCCAAAAAGAACCAAACAATTGCAAAAGAAGCGAAATTCTAATTCTCCTTTATTGCAAAAGCCACTTAAAAGGAAACAAGTGAAAATGGAAAATATAGAAAATATTGGAAAACTAACAGCTGAATTAAAAGCCTTAAATGAAAAGATGCAAAGCATACAAAAAAATTATGATAATGATATTATTGAGAAAGAGAATGATACAAAATGCGAAGTTAGTAGTAAGTTGATGATAGAATTGGATAGTGATAATAGTGATGAAATAATAATTATTAATAATGATAAATCAAAAATGAATTCTATTACTATTAATAGTAATAATAAAAACGTTACTAATTATGAAGATTTATTTGATGATTCAATTGATGATTCAATGGTAAAATGTAGTCAAGAAATTGAAGAAAAATTGAATTTGTGTAAAAGTAAAAGAAATGATATAATGGAATTATCTATAGTAAGTGAGATAAAAGAATTATCTTCTACATCTGAAAAGTCTTATTATTTAACTACATCTAATACTTCTACTGAATATTCTAAAAGTTCTAATATTTCTAAAAATTCTTCAACTAATACAAGTGGTTATTTAAAAACATATTCGAATAAGTCGAATAGAACAAATTCTAACTCAAATATTTCAATGCCAAATTCAAAATTTAACAACAACAATAATATAAATATATCACATGAAAATCAAACATTAAAAAAAAAACATATATCAGATTTTCCAGATGATTCTTTTGATGATTGTTTGGCAACCTGTATAGAAGATGATAAATTAGAATCTAAATTGTCAGAATATGATTTTAGCCCTTCAAATTCAAGCCATAACACAAGTCTTTCCAAAAAAATACCCAAACTTGTTATTTCTAATGCAATAACTAATAAAAAAATACCAAATAATTTTCTTTCAACACCAGGTGTAAAAGAAAATATCAATAATAAAAATAAGCTTATTACAGATGATTTAGTAGAAGAAGTTGAAACTATAACAGATATAGAAACATTACAAAATTCTTTTCCTAGTAAAAATTCCTTAGAAAACAGGAAATTCTTTAGAACAAAGAGTTTATCAGATCAATGTTTTTATCAATGTAAATATGCTAATACAAATAATAAAACAACAAATGTATTAAAATCAAATGCAGTTACTCAATCAGTAAGTACTAAATTTTCCATTGTAAAAAATCAGAATTCGTGTAAAAATAATAATTTTTTACAAATTAATGGCATGGAAAATACACATAGATTTAAAAAATTAGACAAGAAAGAAACTGATAATCATATTGTTAAATACAATTCTACTAATAATTTACTTAGCATGAAAGAAATAAAAGAATCTCAATCTATACGATGTACACCAGAAGAAATAGAAAGAAAACGATTGGAAGCAAAGATGAAACTTGAAGCAAAACGTAAATTACAGCAAAAAAATATAAAATCAAGTGATAATTCATTAGAAAGAAGATCTCCAGGGAAGAAATATGTAAAAAGGTGATAGACTGTATTATTTAAATATATAAATCATTTAAATATAAAATCATCTTTTACAATACTATGTTTTATTTAGAATTATCATATCTATTCTTTATATTTCTGTGATTCTAATTGTATAAAAATATATAATTATTTGATAAAAAAAATTACCTTTTTTTTTTGATATAATTTAAAAATCTAATTTTACCTAAATTTTGTATTTATTATTGTATTTATTGTTAGTAGTTTAAAAAAAATATTCTTAAAACAATTAGTATTATTTTTCAATCATATAATTGATGAATTATAATTAGAATATTAAAATATTATATTTATTTTCATATTTATTTGTTTATAATACGTATTATAATATGTATTAATTTTATATTTAGAAAGTAAATTTCAGAATAAATATTAGACAAATTTGTTTAAATTTGTTTATTTTTTGTATAAATATACATTAAATCCACATATTACAATATTATTTAATTTAATCAATTATATACTAAAAATGAATATATTTTGCAATCTACATTTTAAAAAGTACATAATATTTAAATTTTAGATAGTCTACATTTTATAAATTTTTTTATATGAAAATTATTATTAGTTATCATATATATTTAAATAAATTATTACTTCCAAGAATAAAAATATCGAAAAAATCTTCTATCATATGAATTAAATAAGTATTATTATTTGAAATAGAATAAAAATACTTAGAAAACAACAGCATTAACACAACTATTAAAAAAGCACTAAAGTAACTAATTTATAATAATAAATAACAGTAAATGAAAATCTTTTGTTAAATAAATTTATATAGTAATATATATAAATATAAATATTCTATAAAATATTTAGAAAAATTTTTTATGTTTCCAAATCCGCGCATGTTTAGTAAACGAGCGCCATTACTCGACATGTTCAATCGATACATCACGTGACGTCAGTTTCGAGCTCATAATGGTATTTTTATTTTACGAACGTTAAAAAATATATGAACAGTAACAAATTTTTTTTTAAAAATACGTACAATTTGTATGCATTAAAAATTTGAAAATATTTAAACATGATATTTGGATTTATTCTTAATGATCATATCATTGCAGCATGTCATTGACCATCCCCACCATAAATGCTAACGAATCGAGACAGATATCTACCTCGCAAATCTTTTTCTGATTGGTTGAACGATTCGATCGAGAAACGACACTGAGCCAGTCGACCAGCGACAAGCATGGGGAGAGCACGTGTCATTTACATTGTTGCGCACAACTCGGCAAGCTCATACGTCGACTCGCACGATTATACCACCACCCCTACCGACTTTTTCACCACTAGTGAAATGAACGTAGTCGGTAACGCCACTAGCGTTGTAACAACCACCAAGAAAAAGACATCAGTTTCTTCTTCTATAGAGGTGGTTGATAATTCGAAAATTGTAGTACCATCGCGTACACCGAGTATAGTGCCCGCGAATGCTAAATACATCAGCGTACGCCGTCGGCCTGTTACGATGCTACTCGCGGTGATCGCGCTCCTTTGTGCCGGTAGCAGTGCCGAGGTGTTCACTAACACGTTCCTCGTGAAGATGAGGCAGCCCGCGGAAAGACACGTCGCAGATCGCGTGGCTGCTAGAAATGGATTCGTTAATCTTGGACCGGTAAATTTATCTTTTATTAATAAAAATTCATTTTTTCTTTTTGATGAAATAGATTATTGTAATATAATGTTATGAGATGAAAGAATTTCATTAACTTTTAAGATAATCTACATTATATTGATATATGAACATAAAATATACGAACTATTTCTTTTTAAAGTATTTATTAATTATACGCGAATATTATTTGATGCGATTAAAATAAAGAGAACGATAGAAAATAAAATTATATCCGTAAGATTTTAAACTGCATTGTAATATTAATATATATAATTCTTGATACTAACACGTATCATTAAATTTAGCAATATTATCATACGACATGCTAAAGAAATTGCTTATCTGAGATGAAATAGAGTGTGGCTTAGGGTGCGGATGGGGTGAATACGCTAGGATCAGAATGAAATTTTTCTTGAACGATCGATACGAACTTTGCTGAGAAAAGATACTTTGAATAAAACGCAATTATTTATATATTATTTTTCGGATTTGGATAAAAAATTCAAGATACAATAATGAACATAAAATTCTTCGAACTAAGATATCTATTTAAAATTAACAAATACATAGAATTTATACCTCTTACAATTTTAAATATAACGAATGAAAATATAATTTCGATTTTTTTTTATATATATGTATATATATTTTTAAACAATATTCTTCGTTTAAATCTCCAACACATCGCGCGTATGGATCGATAAATCTTCGAATACGTATTGTTTGCGCAATTCGTTGGAAAATCTGGTGTTGGTCATATATTTTTTCGATTCGCTTATTGATTTATATCAAGGACCAACTTGTTATCGCTTCGTCTCACGATCGACCGATATTCATCGCAGGTATGCAGGATTTAGCGGAGGCATTGATTTCGTTGCCGTTGTCACGAATACCCGCATTATCGCGAAAAAACACGTTCGAAACAATTGATCGACGTCATAAATGTAGGATACGTATTAACGATAAGATAAACTTAACCATCTCGTAATACGAGGATAGAGATTTATCTAGAATCGCGCCATTCATTTCTTTTTTTATGGTATTTTTGGAAATGTTATTGGCATAATTTATATATTATGTAAGGGACACGCGTTGCCATAGATTAGTTTATTTTTATTATATTCACTGAAATATCGGTTATTTCATTTCACGCGTCTCGATTTCTAATTTTCTTTAATCGAAATGAAAATATCAATCACTGATCAGACGGTGCAACAGTGAAAGCGACGCGGTATGATCAGACGCCTACGAGTCAAATATTGCGTAGGCATTGTCTAATATACTCGACTTTTCCTCTATTTTCCTATCGATATATTGTGAAAAATGTCCTTTTACAAGGAAACTGATAAATATTTTCAAACTTAATTTATAGAGATAATAACGAATAATTGTTTATAAATTTCAATTGCGAATAAAATAATATTGTTTCATTGTGCGAATTTTATTATTTTATTATACGTTTTTGCATCCGAGATATTAGAATACTTTTTCTGGGAAACCAATTTTGCGATTGTTTATTTCGAGCAATTTTGTTTCGTTCAAAGTACCGCACATATATACTGATTCGGATCGTGTAATCTCGTTAAACGAGTTTCTGGAAATTTTTCTCCATCGAGTCGAGGATAATTTAAATAAAAAAGAATATTAAAACAAACAAATCGATTAAAACGTATCCGCGAGGCTAATTCGTACGAAAACTTTGTGGGAAAACTTTGTCTGACAAAGATTCGCCTCGACTACCACCTCGATTACCAAAATGAAGTTGAGGAACAATAAAGATATCTTTGTAAAGGCCGAGATGAGGAAAACGTTGAACGTTTGTTCCTGGCATTTTACAACGATGCAAGTGTTTCTTGCAGTTTCATTGAAATGAAAGCTACCGTGAACAGCTGGTAATTGGTGAAGAAACATTTGAAATTTTCGTGCCTCTCGAAAGCACAAATTCTAATTGAAACGCTTGGAGGAACTATCCGTTTCGTCGAACAAATTGCGTTAGTCGTTGCTCGAGTTTATTTCCCTTTATTAGGTTCACTAGCCGAAACTTACCTTACCTTTTTGTCTTTACAAAACTTTATTTTTTTGCCTTCATTACTATTTCACCGATAATTACGTGCTCCATTCTTTTTTTTGCATCTTGCGATACTTTTATATTATTCTCGCCGTCCGTGAGAGTAATTCTCTCATCATTTTCGTTCAACAAACGAATATTGAAGAAACGAGAAATTGTCTTTTGCATATTTTACGTATTCTCCAATAATCGAGAAGCTTAAACTTCACGTCGCGATTATTTTTAGCTCGAAACTTTTCCTCTTTCGTCCAGCTGAGCAGAGAGACTTTATTTAAAGGAGATTTACTTAGAAATTTCTTTAGCTTGAAATATCCATTATTCAAATTGAGAGAAATGTTTCATTGTTTAACTTGTGCTCGTACGAAATAGATGTAATGGCCGTTTAAGAGAAAGGTCGATGGATATGTGCACGGCAAATATATCTCGAATATCATTATCTTATCTCGAAATACGACAGATTTGCAATTGTAAGTTTGTTGGGCATACTTAATGGACCCGCATCATTCGTCACGTTTGTTTAATTTCTGCACCATTTGGGTTACGACCGTGTGTCGTAGTCGAGTAAATTTTATCATATCAGATTTACGTATATAATCTTCCTCTACCTACGCAATACAGGAATTCTATTCTAACAACAATAATGGATCAGATATTCCATGTAAATTCATTAAAGATATTATTATTTTATCTTAGATAAACCAGAGGGAACTTTTATTATTATTAATGGATGGATCTTTGTTCCTCTTACTGTCAGTTAATCAAATATCTAGCATCTCTTTATTTTTCAAGATATATGGAAAATAAACGCTCCAAGTTATTTTTTAAATAAAGCTAGAAAGCTTGTACACGAATTCTCGGAAAAACTCGAGTTTCAAAAGATGATCGAGTATTAAGAACAATTCGATGAAAGTGATTTTCGATTATTTTTAAAATCAGCCGAATGGAAAGTTTATTCTGGGGGTTAACTCGTGGGGGTTGTAAAGTCAATTGGCCGGAAGGGTGAAGAGATTGGGAAACGATGCGTCGTTTAGAGAGTCATGCAGGAGTTATGGTTATTTATCGGTTTTTCAGGGAATCGATCTCTTCTTGAACGCCATATTTACACCGATTTGTGACGTTGTTTTATCCGATCGTTGGGTTTCTCACCCGTCTCACACGATTAATCGCCCCGTGACGTACTCGTTGGATTATCACGATGATCGAACGCCACCACCACGACCACCGATTAGAACTGTCATGGTCGATAACGGCGGATTTCCATTACGACGAGGGAAATAAAAGGGCATCACGTTTTCGGCTCACGTATATATTTATGGCTCGTCGCTAAATATGAACGTCTTTTTCAAAATGAATGTCGAATGAAGGAGAAAAAGTGGGGGGGAGAAAAAAAAAAAGAAAAATCGAGAAGATCCATCCGAAAGTGATTTTCGTCCGCGAATAATAATAATAAAAAGATTAGTCGCGGGGAAGCCGCGTGGAATAATCATGTTAAATAGGTCGATCGATTGAAATGTTGCGGTAATGCCGCTAACCTTTCGATTCGTCGTTGTATAAGTTGAGCAAGGGGTGAAAACCCTTGCTCTTTTTCTTTGTTTTTCTTTCTCGTTTGAAGGACGGAGGAGAATATAGAAAAAAAAAAGAAAAAAAAGTTTTACGTTTTAACGCGGGCCATAAACTCTGCGAATTTTCTTTACGTAAGCGCGTCGTTCTCAAGCCGAGGGAAATTTTATTGGGCGGATTTAATTAAAATATCGATTTATTAACAGAACACGGAATTGGAAAATTTAATTGAATTTATCTCTTTATTAATCGGTCACGTTTTAAATATTAATCGAGAGATCAATCATTTTTATTGGTCAATTAAGTAATCTCGTCTGATTAAAATAAATATAAAAATTCGAGTTTTAAATTGATTTCGATTTAAAGGCAACTGTAAAAGTTCAAACTTTTAGAAGTTAACGATGATTATTATTATTATTATTATTATTATTATTATTATTATTATTATTATTATTCGTATGCAGGTTATAGCAAGCCAATCTATTTTAATCTTCTAAATTGCGTATTTAGTTTATTTTTAACCATTGGAAAAAATCCTTTAGTCTCTTCCTTCCCTCTCCCTTTAATTTTTCTAGGTAAAATTTTCTACGTAATAACATACATCCCGCGTATGACTACGCGTCTTTCAGTTGAGCTAATAGCCGTTTTTAGAAGTTGTTAATTAAATTATTATTCTCGATTATTTTCGTGGATGATATAAAGGAATAAACTTGCGTGGAAAGTAACGAGCACCCTAGCATTCGATCATACGACGTCGGTGTCGAAAGATTAAACTTTAACGAGCAGAAACTCGTGCACAGTTAGTTAATTTACCGAGTTAAAACACGTCAATTGGAATGAGCTGATTTTAAATAAATTTTAATCGAAGGACGATTAATTAATTTTACACGAAATATTTCTTATATTTTTATTTCTTTGTCGATTGAAAAAATATTAATAAACGTGAGAAAAGTGTAAACGTTTCTCCATTCTATTCATTGAAGGAACACGTAAGAATTGTATCTGTAAGGAAAATTGAAGATGAATAATATCGAAAATGCAACTACGCTATTGTTATATTAATAATCTGGGCTTGGCACGTGTTTTGTACGCATCATAATGTCACACAGGCCTTTATCACGCTTACTTGACCATGCATTCACTTGACATGCAGATTTCACCCTCTCTTTCCATTCTCTTACACTTATACAAGTGCAAGTATATGAATTGTGCAGAAAATGGAAGATCGATTGTTCAACAATAAACATCTCGACGCGTAAACTTCGTGTTTTCTTACTTATCTTCATTTTTTTTTACAAATTATACGATCCAACTATTTTGGATTACATATCCTCTGTATCTGTATATTTTTGCCGAAGAGATATTTTTAATTATCCGTTAAATTCAACATCCACACGCAATATGGAAACATACTTCATGAATTTTTTCCAATTTACTTATTCATTTATTTTCCCACGGTTTCAAAGATATGCAGATGATTTATGTATTACGTAATAAGCCAGAGAAATTGATTCTTCACTTCTATCCATAACCGGATTAAGTCGGGCAAAGTTTGCTCGGATTTTTAATTTTACCCGCTATCTTTCAATTAACGTATAAAAGGTTTTCTGATAAATCTTAAGATGGAAGATTAAACATGGCCACCACAACTTGCACATTTTCCTCTTCCTCTTCCGATCGATCCTTTCGACACCACGTGGCCACGATAAACTCGCATTCGCATGCATCGAAATAGATCTAAATCTGTAGGGTAAAGAACGATAAACCTGCAAATTCGTGTTTATCCGTTGGACAACGCATGTACGTTGTAATACCGCGTTCGATGTTATGTACTTGGTTGAACGGTTACTAATTGGATTTACGCGACACGTGTAGATCGAAACTGCATCACGAGGTGAATAGCTTAACGAAGGACGCTCCATGTTTCTCTAGAAAAGAACGCTTTGTATTTCTTTATCTCTTCGTTTAGTGAAATATGGAGGGACTTTTTTTGAAGGGATGAAACAGGAATTCGTACGATAAAGTATTTTTTTCAAATATCCTACGTTTCGTTCTAAAATTGATTGGTAAAATTGGCCAATAAATGATACGAGATTTAATTTATCTCGACTTATTAAGTAATATTTAAATGTTAATAGTATAACGATCTGCAAATGTTTCTTGTAGCCGTATTTAAGAGCTTATTTATGCTTTTTTATTGATATTTACACGATCGTTCTTCACGCAAATTAATGGAAACGGTTAATCCAATCGGATATGCGTGTATGAAAATAAATTTCACCGAGGATTATTAGTCATACGGCTCGTTCTGTTTGATCGGAAACGAGGCATGATTAAATAATATAACGCTTTGAATGAAAATCTCCTATACACTTGGAATATTCGTTTCATCATTAGCAACGAAGCCGTATCGTGTTACACGATCTCGTGATAAAAACTTCATTTTGAAGTTCAAAGATATTGCGTTAGCATCCTGGTTACTGGATACGTATCGAGCAAATGCGTGTCCATCCTATCGATCTTCGAGGGAAAATGAGGAACCAAAGTGAAATTAATCTTGTCGGGCAAGTATTCGTGAAAAATTCTCGAAGAAACAAGATAATATAAGTTTTAAAAAGGAGAGAAATAAATCTTTTCTTCTCAGGGAATTTTATCGAAACGTAAAATTTTAAAACGGTTTAAAGCTTTCCATCGTAAGTATCGTAAAATTTTCTATCAACAATACGGTTTTATGGGATTCGAGAGGAAAGGAAGAGGAGGTAGTATCAGAGTGGCGAAATGAAACGAGAAAATTCTTTCTCAGCCGTGTATTCGCGATGTGTATTTATATCATCGGTGTTGGAATTCATGGTAAACAATTCATCAGAAAACGCGACAGATTTGTCCCGATTTGTTCTAGATGATACTTCATACGAGTTTTTATTATTTATCGTTCATCTTCTCGCAATTTCGCGATATTAAATATCGATCGCCTTTGATCTCCTCCTTGAAGAAATTTAATAATTTTCCCCTCTGCGAATAACTTTGTAACGAGATACACAGAAAAGTTGGAACATGTTGATCCAATCTTCTTTCTTCGTATCATCTGCATATCATCGGAATGTCGACGACACATGCTCAAAGTTTTACAGGAATCAATTATCGAAAATGATCGATTGTCATTTTTTGCACAACGCGCAAGAATCGTGATCTGGAAAATTAATGATGGAAAAATTTGATATACAAACACCGATCAGAAAAGCTATCGAATCGTATTACTAATTTCTATCCTATATTAAACGTGTCTGCTTTGTTATTACATTTAGAGGAAAAGGAACGACAAAAATACAATGCGGTATTCAAGTTATTTAACAAGCATCTAAGTAAACAGAGAATTTCAGGATATTTGAAATTTCATTTATCGTCAGAGGAACAAATTTCATTAACGTCGAAACGACAGAAAGTCTGGTCTATGGCGTAACCGAGGAGAAAGAGAGAGCCTCGACCTTGCGCGATCGTTTTGCAGAAAATTGCATCAATCCTCGGGTTACGGCCATAAGTCTGGTGGATAGATAAATAGAAGTTGGAAGATAGCTGCGTGCGTGCGATAGGACGAAATGAGGAACGCCGACTCCAAGCACAGAGATTCCAATATCATCAATAATGAGATTTCTTTCGCGTGCATCCCAGCATCGATAACCCTCCACGTGTTACCATCTTCTTATTTTTTTTCCCCCCTCCGGTTAAAGTTTCGAAGCTCGACAAGACGTTCTCCTTTATGTCGAACTATCGAGAAACAATCGAGTTCCGCACAACAACGTATCCCAAGTTTATTCCTATGGAGATTAAAATTTCAACCTGCGACATACAACGCATGCGAATTTTTTTTCTCTCGCATTCAAATCCATGTTCCTCCAATTGATCGTAACATTTCTACAATTATGGTATCTTTTTTTTTTTCGTGACGAAACTGGCCGGTATGAATGCAAGCGGAAGCAGGCGTGTCGCAGACCTTCTCCAGTGCCAAGAACGGCATCGCCAGAATGCGATGAACGCGTGTTGTTTCTCGATTTCTGAGGGAGTGGAATGCGCCACTCCTCTCGTAAGCGCTCTCGAAACACTCGTCGTCGAACGAGTCATCAGGAATTCGCTTTGCACGAGACGAGATTTCTTTTTTTTTTCTTTCTTTCTTTCAGTCTTCGAAAAAAAAAAAAAAAAGGAAATATCCCGGATACAAAGTTGCCCCGATTTCGATGCACTTTGATACTATGATCGATCCACGTGCCACTTACGATCGCTTTCCCAACGTTTCCTCTCCCCCGATCAGATAAATTAACAGGCGTTGGGGATAAATAATAACTTATTAATCCGATAACATTCTGTAGCATAGGTGATGGAGATGGACTTTATCTATTTTCCGTAATTGGTTCGTATGGATCCTCGAAATGGTCGGCTCGCCGGCCGATCGTTAACTCGTTTCCGTATAATTCGATCAAACACGAACGTTATTTACCTATGTATCCTCCAATATCCTAAGTGAATCGAACTCTTGAAAGGATTCTCCTGTTACCACACGTATCCGGTCGGATCTCTCAAGTGTTTCGAGGAGGGGGAAAAAAATTGAATTTATCCCAATGCTTGGACGCTCTTTTTTTTTTTTGTTTCCTTGTCCAATCCAAAACGATCGATAGATATTCGGGCGTTAACTCGCTTCAGAAATGACTTTTTTTTCTTCTTCACTTTTCCCAACGAGAAAATAATCCCGCGAATGAATTCTTGTTGCGTAAGGAAATAAGAATTTTATTCTATTATTCTTGCAAGTATTTTATCAAACTGACGTACGAACGACGCGAAACGGTCGAAGAAGGTTGAATATAAATTGCTTTTTTCCCTGTCTGTTTAGATATTGGGCAGTCAGACGGAATATCACTTCGTGCACAAAGCTCTGCCGCACGCACGGAGCAAGAGATCCGTGCCCCACATGAGGAGATTGAAAGTGGATCCTTTGGTAAGTAAATTCATTCGTCCTCTCTCGAATCGTTGGGACCATCTCTTCCCGTGTTTTCGCGAGAATGGAATTTTTTCGTTCAAACCGTTCAAAAATCGATTGTTTTGCACCGTCGAATTTATTATTTAAACGGAGGGGGAGGGGAAAAGAAATTATAGCGTCAAGCAAGGATGAAATTTCGAAACTCTCGAATTTCGAAACACTCCCTTTCGATAACTGGTCGATAATTGTCACATTTAAAAATTTCCAATCTACCCATCTTCTGCTTGCAAGCAGAATATTTCACGAGCGAGCGAACGCTTTCTTCCGCGCGTTGCGCGGATAATAAATTTCGAAGGTATAAAAGGTATAAAGCACAATTGGAAGAAAGAAGTTATCTCGCTCGTGGGTGGACGATATAAATGTAAATGAACGCGTAATTTCCAAACGAGGAAAATAATTGGATCCGGGATAAATTGTCGGCATAAAATTACGAAATTGTCGCGTTGCTTTCGCGAAACTTGTCATCGATGCTCGATGAATATTTTTGCACCATTATCACAATGTGTATTCGTCGGTCCACCATTTTTCCCCTCCCTCCATTCTGAGAATCGCGAGAAGCTTTAACCCAAATATCCATTATTTTTCCATCGTTTGTCACGCCCACGCGATATCGAATGAAACGAAGCAAGATATTTCTGATTCAATTTCTCTCTCGAATTTCTTCAATTGATTCCTTCCAATGATGTTCTCCGTTTTCGCGGAAATATTTGAAATTATGTTATTATGCGAAACTCTTGTTCAACTTTTCTTTTTCAATCTATAATGTATATACGCATTTTAATTAATCGATTTCGACGAATACAAAAGAGGTAGGTATTGTAGAGATTGTTATTCGTGGAGGAGGAGAGAAGGGTTGCGCTGAGGGTGCAAGAGAGAACTCGTTTAAAAATGTTTCAGGTGCACACAGCCGTGCAGCAGGCTGGATTCAAGAGGGTGAAGAGAGGTTATAAGCCTCTCAGCGTGGATAATCTGGTGCCCCTCTATCAAATTAAAAATCCATCGAATCCTGGCAACAGAGACCCGTCTGATCCTTACTTTCAGTATCAATGGTACTTGAAAAACACCGGTCAAAATGGCGGGAAACCGAAGTTGGACTTGAACGTAAAGGCAGCTTGGGCCCAAGGTGTTACAGGGAAAAATGTGACCACGGCTATAATGGATGATGGTGAGATTCCAATAATTTAAATAATTTAAAAGAGAATTGAATTTTACAATTTTTTTGACTTTAGATTATATGACACATGAATGTCTCGTTTAAAGTTCGTATTAATTTCTCGTTTTAATTTATTATCATAATTAATTATCGATACCACGTGTCACATATCTTAATGTCCATTTCAATCCTTCAAAATTTCAAATAACTTAACTCTCTTCACAATTGAACATTTCATTGATTTCCTTTTGTGTGTTATAATTTTTCAATATTGATCAGCATTAATATTTTTAACTATATCCAGAATGCCAAATTTTAGAAAAATTCGTGGAGGAGTTCGTATTAAATGGTCGCTTAAACAAGAAGACGCGTAGCAAACTTTTATATAAACTTTTTTACACATTTTCACGATTATTACGACACGATTCGTTCAAAAAAAAAAAAAGTACGTCACATCAATAGAACCAAATACAAAATGAAATCTCGAGAATTGATTAAATTCGTGCACACCTATTTCATACAAAGTTTTCAACGATAGCCAACTAGCCAGTGAATCAAAATCGATGTGACCAGACCCAGCTTTACGATGATACATTGACAGCTAACCCGCCGACTCCATCGCGAATGACGTTTATATCTTTGATCAATACAGCTTGGCCGAAATTTTTGAACATTGTTTCGAAAATCAATTTTCGACGAATTCTTGAAACGGAATTCCTGAAAAATATTTTACATCTCGAAATTATTAAAATAATTTATACCTAAAAAATTATTAACGTCAAATAATTTTGATAAAATACTTTAAATCCTTTTCATCAACGTGTCATTAAATCATGGAAAATATACGTTTAAATTAAAAGAAAAAAAAAAAAAAGAAAAATTAATATTGAATTTATCACTGAAAAGCAGGATTACTATTTGAAAATTTTACACATTGTCTGAATTGTCGATTCGATGTGATCGTATGAAACTTTGTTGGTAATAATTTTGTTTCAAAGTTAACTGTTGCTGCACGTGCTTGGCTACGAGAGGATTGTTACGTAACGTTTCTCACAAATGATATCATTTTACCTTGAAATACGTGATTAAGTTCCATAATTCTCGTTTCATAAACACGAATATCGTGATATATAACCGATGCTCGTTTTCTGCCGTTTATTACGCCCGGAATCTCGGTATCTATCGTTAAAACTGTATAGTCAAGTATACAATTTGTCGATGATTTATGTTGGTTAAGTATCGGCGATGATACCGTATCGGTTAGCATTAGTCGATCGAGGACTGTTACGAATTTAACAAATTTAAGTGGAGTTTATCGATCCCCGGGGATAACAAATTTCTCCATTATTTAATCGACCTCGATCGACTTTGCAATTCTCCGTGGCAATCTCGTTTGAAGTACGACGAGTAAAGCGCAAGATTTACCTATCTAAAAGAAATTGTATCTTCTTTTGAAATTGATAGCGTCTATACAACAATAGAAGTTCAAATTATTCTTCGAATATTCTTCATATATTCATATCGATCAATTTCATTAGCAAACGGGCAATCTCCGAGAAGAATTTCACTTCGAACTTTCATCGTTACACGATTATTTGATTTCGATTGAATCTCGAAACATCCGCTGTGCTTCCAGTCCGCAGTTCCCATTGTGAAAACACCGTTTCTTCTCCTCTGTTCCAGGGGTCGATTACATGCATCCGGATTTGAAATATAATTACGTAAGTATTAATAAACGTACAGATTTATTCCACGTGACTCGACTAAATTCGACAGCTTCGTTATTCTTTATTTTCCATCGAAAACAATTGAAAGTTGAATAACACAAAGAATATCATCCGGTCCGGCTTCTTCTCGCCTCGTGTCGCTCGCTTTTGCGCCTCGATGAGTTTCACGAAAAGAATTCGTAATTCATGGGATTATCATTGGCATAATATCCGATTGAAATTGAAATCTGGAGCGCGCATTCATCGAGACGAATGAGATCGAGGGGATGGGAATCGCATTTTGAGATATCGCATTTTGCGTGTAGATTTTGATGATTCTCATCCAGGATCTACTCGAACAAATGATCGAATTGTTGTTCGGTAATTAAACGTTAATTAACGAGAAATGTTCTCGTCGACCGGGTACGCGGTGAAATTGGAAAATCATAGAATATCGAATAATGCTGCTTTGAGATCTATCAGTGCCAATTATTAGCGTTCAATTACGTATTCAATTACGTGTTTCCCTGAATCTCTCGGCTCGGAATTTTCCTCCTGTATCGAGATGGAATTTATTCTGGAACAAGTTTGTAAACCAAACTTTTTTTTCATTTGTTAGAAAAGTAGCTGAGCTGATTTATCTCGATTTTTCATTCGAAAGGAATAAGGATATGTAATAAAAAAAAAAAAAAAAAAAAAAGAAAAGAAAGAATACGATTTCCATTCTTGATGAAGGAAAAAAATTTGTTCCATCGACTGAGTGATTTTTCTTGGAAGAGAGGGATGGCCAGAATGATTCGGATCACGTACACTACCAGCCAGATCCTCAAGATCCACTTAATGTCCTGGAGAAACAAGGAAGTGAAACGCATTAAGCGTGGTTAGTTAAACTTGAGGGTGACGTGCGTCGAATAAAGTAATTGGATCTGTTGAAAAAGGGAGGAGTTGAAAAATTTTCGAAAGAACGACAAATATCATTTGAGGGAAAGGGGAGGGGAAAATTTTGTTTCGCAGGATGATAATGCATCCTCGACCTATTTTCTCGACGCGGTATTGTCAAAACAAAAAAGCCAAAAGTTGTGACGTTTCATGAATAAGAAATCAGTAATATTGCACGGAGGAAAAAAGGAAAAAAATAATGGAGAAACGAAGTTCTTGCAAAAGTTTTCTAAAGGATCAGGATAGAAAAAGTGGAAAGATAATATAACTCACGTGTTGTAATATAATAAACTTTAAGAAGAACGAAAAGAGGGAAAATTGGTCGAGTATTAAAATTGCAAGAGGGAAGATTCTCCAATGAAGAATTCTTGGATAACAATTTTATTCCGGTGCAATGTTCTTCGTGTCATCCAGCGTGGAATAAATTTCAAAAAAGAAAAAGAAGAAGAAGAAGAAGAAGAAGAAGAAGAGGAGGAGAGAGAGGAACTTCATTCGACGAAGTGAATTTAATAAAGCAAATTTGAGTTTTTTTTTCTTTCCGAGAGAAATGACGGTAAAATATTCCAGACGATCGGTCATTTGGCCATTATGCTAAAACATCCAGAGATTATGGAATTTTTCAGTGTCATTCAATTAGAAGGTGAAAAATGGGGTGGCACGAGGGGAGAGGAGAGGCAGGTAAGGAACGAGAATGGATGCAACGAGAGTTGAAGGGGTAGTTTTCAAGACGAAGATTAATAGTCTGTTGGCGACTGTTGTGTGTGGGTATAAAGAATTTATGGGGGAAGAAAATTAATAGAAAAGACAAATCCTTGTTCGATTAATTAACGACGCCGAGAAGTCTCGTCATTTTTGTACATAAGATTTATTTTGATTTATTATACAAATTTATCAAATTTATTTCTTTACGTGCGAGGAATGTATTCCTTGTATAAAATACGATACAAGCGAAGAAATAACGCGTAAAATACCGTTGCCAGGTTTTATTGTGGTAGAAGCCGCAAGAAGAATTTTCTTCTAAAAATACACGGAGAGTAAAGATTGACGCCGAGAAAGAAAACCACTGATATAAATGTCAATAGAATTCTCGTCTGCCACTCAGGAAATCCGAATTCGATTCTTCCATAAAATAAAATATTTTTCGTTTTATAAAAGAAAAATATGATTCTCCATACAAAACTTGATATTCAATTTTATCAGAAATGCGATTTTTCCAGCGTACGATGGAATACAGTTGTACAATTGAAAATGTATATACATCGATATACGGCATATCACGAGTTGTAAAGAAGACCATATAACAGCTCGCGTAAAAATCACGTGGAAGAAAAACATTATTATACTTAATATTCAAATACTTGTCTCTCGTCTCTCGTCCATTCGAACGACTCGAGGGAGCTTTCATTCTGATGACTGTCACACGGCCGAGAGTAGCTTTGTTTCCCCGGTGCGTTGTTCGATTGTAACGTGTTCTTGTTCCACGATCTCTTAACAAGAAAGAGAAAAGAAATTGGAAGGAAATCCTTAACGAAATCCTTCTATCAGCTTTTCGAACTTTTGCCTTTCTAACGAAGGGACGCGACGACGAAGAAGAAATAAAGGAAATTGTTCGTTTCGTTTCAGAACACGAAAGCTTCTTACGACTTCAGCAGCAACGACCCCTACCCTTATCCGAGATATACCGATGACTGGTTCAATAGGTGAGTAAAACGATCGAGTATCTGTTTTTACCTTAGAATTAATTAAACTGAAACAAGTTAAAAAAATCTCGAAACGTTTCTCTCTTCTTCGTCTGGGAGAATAATAAAGGTTATAAGACGGTTATTTGTTACATAAAGCCCGGTATTCGAAGTAACGAGATTAGAAAGGGGTTGGTCTTGTGTAATAGGAGCTTTGGAGAAATGCTCGACGCGTTAATTAATGATTACCGGCTGGTAATTAGCACGATGGTGATTAAACTTGGAAAACTTGTTTCGATCTTCTTCTTATTTCGACTTTATATCGTTTTTCCATCGAAGGTGACACATGGCTTCGAGATGAAGCCATGCCAGAGGATAATAACGTTTCCTTGCTCGGCAATGAATCGAATCGAAACTTTTTATCCTATTAATGAAAAATCGACTTTCCGAGTTGGAGAATCGGGATGAACCCGTCTTTGGGTTTAAAGTTTGGGTGGAAAGATTTTCGTTTTCGTCGAATAATTCGAATGAAGAGTGGAATTGTGGAAAATAATCGTCGTGCCACTTTGTTGTCGAGTAGCTTCTTACGTAAAAAAAATTGTTCCATTTATTTTTCGTACTCGTCTTACGTAAATCCCTCGAGAGAGGGAAGTTGGGCAATTTTGTGCCATTGACGAATTTTTCCGGAATACGGAAATAGAACGTCTAACGCAATAATCGAACAATTTCATCTTGAAAAGCATTTCCCAACATATTTTCTTATTGTATTGGTAACAGGGAAAATTTGTCATCTCGGTACTCTATTTTTCATTACTTCTCCTCCACCAAGATCAAGATTTTCAAGTTTTCTCAAGTCAAGTTTTCAATGGAGGAACGTTCATATTTTTTTCAATTATTATCGAATTGAAAGAAATTCCATTTTCCTCCAGTTCTTCTTCGACCGAACACTTTCAAAGCGTTTCTTCTTTTCAAAGCGTTTCAAAGCAGCCATATTTCAATTTCCATCTCGATATTTCTTTCAACGAGTCGAAAGAAAGGAAAAGGAAAAAACAAGGATCGTTTCGATTGTGATCATTCACAGTCCAAGGAACTGAAAATCGTTGAATTTTTCACCGGAACAGTTGAACGAATCCTTTTAAGTTTTTTATGCTCGGCCAACCAATTACAACTCGATCTTTCAATTAATCGAGGAAAAACGAGTTTATCCAACGGATGACCGTAAAATTGATTAAAACTCTTCTTCGCTTCGTGGTTCACGAGTTATCTCTTAATCCGTGATATTGCACGATCACGCGATCGTGTTGATACGATTTGTTCGTACGTCGCTTTCGTACGTGGAAAAACTCTCGATGAAGAGAGAGAGAGAGAGGGAGAAATGATGACAGAAGTTCGGCGGCTTTAATACGTCTTCGAGCAAGTCGAATTATATCATTTTTACGACACGCGTTTCTCGATTTTATTGGTTCAATCAGGACGCGGCAATAAAGATGGACGTTAAAAACGTATGGAACGTTCAAAGGAGGAACGTGACGAAAGAAACGTGACGGAGAAAAGAGAAAATTTGCTGAAACTTGTCCCGCTTAGACTTAGGATCGAGATTCCAATCCTTTTACCGAGCATTTTCACCGTTCCTTGGGAACATCTCGAAACTTTTAGCAGTTCGCTTCGTACCTTCTGAACGCTCCGTTTACACCGCCAACTTTTCAAACGTAATGTCCTCCATTTGTCGTCACGCGGCAGCCAATAGTCACGTGGTATTCCTTTGAGAAACTTACTTCACTTTTTCCAGTAAGAATATTTCGAATTTTTGCCGAGTTCTATTTAACTGACTGATTTAAATTTTTATTAAAAAAAAAAAAGGAAAATGAAAGGAATTTCTAAAGAATGCGTCGTCGACATATTTGTGCTCTTCATAAACGTTGAAAAATATTAATTTTTATCGAAAATATTCTTTTTTTTACGTAGATACGCACGGAAAATAGATATATCCTTGGAGAACGTTTAATGGAAATTTCATTGCGACGAATCAAGCCCGAGCTAGAAAATTATCGAAGACGTTTATTAACCACCCTTATTGCCTGCCTTGTACGCCACGGCTTGGAACAATTGCAAGCTCCGCAACGCATCTGGTGCCACTTTCAGATACCGCAAATAGGCCACGATAAATACGATTTTATTATGCAATCTCCATCCAAGACAGGATAGAATCGTGTCTGCCGATACTATTGTGACATTATCCTGTTCTCTGTAAACAAAATTACGTAATTAATTTTCGCTCGATCATTCTATCGCATTCGAAGGTTAAACGTTCGATCCGATTATCGCCATCATCATCATCGTCGTCGTCGTCGTCGTCGTCATCGTCGTAATCGTTAAATGACAATGAAGTTGAATGGTAATTAACGAAAGTACAGGTGGAACAACAGGTCTCTACATCGTTTACGTGTAATTGGAAACGATGAGCATACATCTATGCTTTGTATTTCACAAAGCATAACTGTACATTATAGTTGAAATGCGATTATTTATTTTTGGAAATTAATTAAAATTCAGAAGGGAACACGAAATGGACACGATTAATTAGGGGTCTGGGTGAGTGTGTTTGGCATCTAGCAACGAACAGAAATTTAACAAATTTAATTAAGTCGAAATTTTTTAACCGGGTTGATTCGTCGTGAAATGAATTTTCATTAAATATTCTCCAACGTATGTATATCTATTTCTCTATTTATTTTATTAAACAGGAGGGGAAGAGAATACGTCGAAACTGTGGATATTTATAAATTCAAGTTGTACTATTTATTCTTATTATTCTATTTTATAGATATAATTTTTCGAATATCGTTTCGTTTCTCAATCAATTTATCTAGCTTTTAGAATTGTACAAACGATTAAGCGCAAAGGGAAAGAGAACATAAATGCTTCGAAGGAAAAATACTTTTCCATCTTTCACTTTTTTAAAATCTTATTCGATGGAATATATTTATAATCGGTCAAAAATAAACCTTATAGAAGCTCGATTGACGAGATGTTATCAAAATTACTAATTAACTTTATATTACAAAGTATGATGCTGGTGAATATATTTCTGTTCGTATTGGATAGAGTAAAACCGTGTCAGGCTATTTTATTACTTTATCGAATTTATTCCCACTTTGTAGAAAATATTCCCATTTGAAAAATGAAAAGATGATAGAAATTTGAAGGGTTGATTTCACGTATTAGATACTCAAAGAAATTTTCCACACAGCGATCGATCACATACAAGACAAGCTTTCCAGGCCAAGATTTCAGAGAACCAAAAAAAAAAAAAAANAAAAAAAACAAAATTAGAAAAGTTGATGTACAAAAATATCGATTAAATTTTATTCATTAATTATTATAAATAATTAAAATTGAGAACGAAACGAAACAAACAGACTATATAAAACCCTATATAACGCAAATAATAAAATCGTCTTACTCCATCTATTTCCAATCCAACGCAAACTTTAATATATATTTCTGTTCACCTACTTTTTCTACATCTTTCAATTAAAGCAGCCGACAACGAACAGCCAGATTTGCAGGGGTGGGCGCGAAAATATTTACCCAACGGCCATCTAATCGACAGTTTTGTTTTTTCTTTTCTCGAAAAAGCCACGGAACGAGATGCGCCGGCGAGGTAGCGGCGGCCCGGGACAACGGCGTGTGCGGCGTGGGCGTAGCTTACGACTCGAAGGTAGCCGGGATCCGAATGTTGGATCAGCCTTACATGACCGACCTGATCGAGGCGAACAGCATGGGCCACGAACCTGACCTCATAGACATTTATAGCGCCTCATGGGGGCCGACGGACGACGGGAAAACCGTGGACGGGCCGCGAAATGCGACCATGAGGGCCATCGTGCGCGGCGTTAACGAGGTGTGTATTGGCGCGTCACCTTACCACCCCTATCCTCTTACCTCCTCGTCCTTCTTTGGAAGGATTCATCCTTGAAACCACCCTCGCCACGTTTATCTATCTCCTTCCTTTCCAACAGGAATTTTCCGTTACTATGATAAATAAATTAAAAATTCAAGTTGAATCGGGTATTAATTTAATAAAGATTAATAATAAAATAGTAAATTATTGCGGGTTGGGTCTACTGAATCGATCAAATTTAGAAGTAACTAGCGGTTGGATGTAAAGAAAGTTAAAAATGTATCTAAGCCCCCCTTGGATGTTCTGCGTGGCGATAATTTAATAGAAACAATAGATTTTTATGCTGATACTTGCCATCCATCTTTCGCTCGTATTCCACGATCTCACAGAGGACGAATCGATCGTGGCGATCTGTTCCCGATACTGCCGATAGTTTCTGGGACCGGTGCTATCTCGAAAGTTTCGAAGCGAGATATTGGCAAATGGGAAAATCAGCGAAGCAACGGGGAATCGGGTTTCACGGTGGAATTGGTGTCGTTTTGTCGTCGGTTGCTCGACGACGAACTTTTCGACTCGACTGATTTATCTTGGAGCCACGTATTATTTTCTTAGAAAGTTTGTCCCTCTTGTCAACTTTTTACTTAAGAGTTTTAACACGAACCGTCTGTGAAAATTTATCGAGAGAGATTCTAATGAGATTTCGCGCGATAAAACTTGGCCTAACCAAGTCGTAAAGCCAACTTCCCCCTCCTCGTCTCGTCTCGCGAGACTTTAAGTCGAATCGAAACGTTCGTTTCTGCTATTGTTTTGATTCATCAGCGTAACAGTTGTACACAATATTTTGAAATACGTTTCTACGATCTATTGATATCTCCAGCCAAAATTGGAGAACGTGCTCTCAGTTTGTTGAAATTGCTTGAATAGTTCAAGTCACGTATCCTCGGTATATTCGCGTTTGCTATTTTCCCTGTATTTTCAGAGATTTCCCCCCCCTCGCATCTTCATCCACACATTACATCCCAGCAACCACGCAAATTTTTATTTTTCACGTGCCTAACCTCTACTCGTTCTCATTTCGTTATATTTTCATCATTTCGAATGGTAATTTCGAACGCGAATTATAAATTTCAATCACACGCGAGCTTCGCGAATCGAATTCGTTTCAAATTTTCAATTCTCGAAGCGGAGAAAAATCTTCCCATTTTTTTTTCTCACGGGAGAGAGAAGGATGATAAAGGTAATTCGCCAACTTGGTGCTTAACGTCACGGTGAAGCGATGTCCTAATTAACTTCGTGATTGCGCCGCGAATTTCTGACGGTCGTTACATCGACGGAAGTCGTCCCACGTCGCTCTTAAGCCACGTGTAAACAAAGTATCTACCCCTTCGAGACTACCATCCCATCGATCCACCCCTTTGATCGTTCCTTCCATCAACCCTCGATCAATACTCCTCCTCTCTTTCCCGTCGTACGAGAAGAATTTTTTTCTCCTACGATCTCGACGAGGCTTTGAAATTAAAATTTTAATCAAAGAGGATAAAAATTCGAGTCGAGTTGGAACGAGTGGAAGGTAACGTTTTTAGGAGAATTTTACAAAAGAATGTCATCCGTGTAACGAAGGAATGGAATGGAATCTCGCGTGGCTGGGATATTAAAGAGGAGAGGAGATAGACCGCGGTGATCGAATATTTTTTCAAGGAAATTTTCGAAATAATTGCTTCGAAATTCGAACGAAGCACGCTTTCTTTCAAGAGGAGGAGGTCGATGATTCTTTTTAGATTTTTATTAACTCGAGTGAAGATAATCAAATCGGATGGACGCGTAAAGGGTGCATGGGAATTAGACGCATGTTTGTTGCTCGTTACAACGATTGTTTTTAACAATTTACGAGGAGTAGATAGATAGATAGATAGATGGAACGGAAGAAAAGCGTTTATTTCTCTCGTTAGTTCGTTTATTATCGGTTAATTGGAAATGCGATTACGAGAATCTGATCGAGTTATCCGAGGATCGCAGTAGTTGGAAGTATCCGAGATCGAAACGAGATTTACGTGAGATATGTTGATTATACTCTCTGCACACGAGTGATTAATCGACTAATTAATTAATTTCATTCCTTCTTCCCAATTATTTCTATCCAATATTTTCTCGTTCGAGAAACGGATGAAGCGTTAATTTTTAATTAATCCTCATTTCGAATTCCTCGGAAACTTTCTCCATCTTCTAATTATGCGGTGCTGCGACCATGTTTCCCCTCGCAGTGGCGGAGAGACCAATCGATAAGTGTCAAGATCAGCTCTCGGATATTTCCCGAGTTCGAGAGAAACGCCTCTCGTTTCGGAATTTCTCCTTAATAACTAGTCGTCACACACACACACACACACACACATACAACTTATGACAGATCGTTACGTTCCGAGACTCAGCCAATCGGGATGAAATTCAATTCGAGGATGAAATTGTCGGCGAAGAAATAAATAAATTAAAAGAAAAAAAAAAAAAAAAAAACAACGTTATATATTTCGTTTCACACGTTTTCGAGAGAACATTTGAAAAAGAATTATTTTCAAGCAGAATCCAAGTAGGAGAGGAGTATGCATTGCGTCCAGAATTGAATTAAACGTATCTGTTTCCAGGGTCGGAGAGGACTGGGCAACATTTACGTGTGGGCCTCTGGTGACGGTGGTGAGGAGGACGATTGCAATTGCGACGGTTATGCGGCCAGTATGTGGACCGTCAGTATTAATAGCGCCATCAACGATGGGCAAAACGCTCATTACGACGAGAGCTGTTCGAGCACTCTGGCTTCGACGTTCAGCAACGGTGCCAAGGATCCCAATATTGGAGTGGTAAGTGGCCTCGAACAACATTCGCGTTCTTTCTTCTCTCGAGATGTAATTCGATTTTAATGAATTCGCCACGCTTGAACGGTGTACGGATTTTCCGGAAAAGATCTTCGATACAATTAGTCTGGAAACTTTGCTGGTAAATGTTGGATATCAGGTAGATTGCTATCAGAGATTGTTCAAAGATAAAGATTGACTTTAACGTCCCTCTTAATATATTAGCTATTTTCAAGAGAAATAGGGCAGTTGAACAAGAAGATTAATCATAACGAAACAAATTGTTTAACTTTTCCAAGATACTTATTACAAGTGGAAAACTTGTAAAATGTTGCTATGCGCTACTTTATTGTACACAAAATAATAAGTTGCGCTCGAGGAATTTGATGATGAGTTGTGTTACGATAACAGTTATCCAAGTATTTCGAGGGAATTCCAATTTCGTTGGTTAAATACGCAAAGTTGGAATCAAACAAACAAACCCAAGCAATTATAAATCAAAAGGGTATGGCTATTTCTCAGTGCATATCTGAATAAATATAATCTGAATAAATCGTGCAATTTTTTGCAAAAGAATTTCTCCTACGAATCGAATATATATTCCTGATCACAGATATTCGCGCAATTATTTTCGAATAAATGATTTTTATTTTTCCACGCGCCGAATGATGAACGGTTTGTTGCCGGCCGGTTAATGGTCGGCCATTCTCTAATTAGAGTGGATTCCACGTGGATTCCAGGTCAACCGGTGTTCACATAAGTTTCCCCGATTTCACGAGGCGGAAATGTCTCCGGGCAAAAGTTATTAACACGTTGGAAACGGGGGAGAAAATCGAATCTAGGGGTAGAAATGAATCGCGACAAATATATTTCGCGACATAAATATTCCGTTTTTTCTTCTCCCGCGCCATTAACGCGTTGATTTATTAGAACGTGATTGGCGATCGAGCACATGCTGCACCGGTTGCGAAACGAGTATCGTGTTTCGATTATTGATGGCGAGCGACGATCGCGATACGATCCTTCTCTCTACGACTTGTAAGAAATCGGATTCGCGACTGCAAGAATTGGGATGGAATATCGCGTGGTGAGATATAAAATTTCGCGAAACCAAGGTGTGGTGTTAATCATATAATTGCGAAAATTAATTTATTTTTTTTTATTCCGGTTCGTGATGCACACGAGTGAAGATAAGTATCATAAAAGTGCTACGTTTGGCAGAAATTTCTATTCTTCTCTCTTTTTTTTTTTGGATATAATCTAGATCTCTGTAAAATTTATATTACGAGCTTTTTAATTTTTTTTACTTAAAATATAGATAGATAGGGCAGTATTGGTTTATATTCAACAAAAAAATAACGAGTACTCACAAGCGCATCATGGAAAATCAGAGAATCTTTTAGATGTTTATTACAGCTATAGATTGTTATCGATATAATGGTTATTCAAACTTAACGATTTGCAAGAATTCGAATGTTGTATGATGTAAGCGAAATACGAGAACTCAGCGGGAGCATGTTTAATCTAGTAAATTGGTCTTCGTTTAAATAAAATGGGAAGAAAGAGCGCGTCGTATGGAAGATCGATGAAAATTTTCATTTGTATCAGATTAGATTTTATCGTATTCATTTCGTATAGAGAAGTCGTTGTTACTGATGGTTTTTAATCAGGTTCAGAAGAGATAGATAGATAGAGAGATGATCGTAAATTGGAATGAAATATTCACCAAAATGGCTCCTTATTATTTGTTCAACCAAGATGAGATTAGATTCTGGTCTGTCGGGACGAGTTGCATTCGCCATACGCGAGATTACCGAACCATGCTTATAGGATGGTCGAAAATTGTCGATCAACGTGAACATTTTATGAAATTGCTCGGTAACATATTCCAGAAGATACGATCGAGAAGAGAATATTCGACGAGTGGGAAAGATTGTGATCGATATTTGGAAAATTGATGTTTGTCGAAATTTTAATAATAAAAAATATTTTTCACTCGCAAAAGCAGTATTTAAAGTTCAAAGGGTGAAAGAGAAAATCGGATTTCAATAGCCAATAAATCGACGAAGAATCGAGAAACACCGCATACCAAATCTTTCTTTCTGAACGTTTTTCGAATAAACTTAGGAAAGTTGTATAAATTAGAGAAATGCACGCGTGCGTTTTGTTTCAGACAAAAATCTGCGTTAATATCCGTGTAAATTCGCGACATCTTACGCGAATAAAATAAATTTTAACAATAAAGAAAATACATTTCCATGTATATGTACATATATGATGTATCGTTAGCGAAGAAATATGTTCATGAAAGTATCGTTCACGAGAGGATCGTCCTCATTGCCCAAGATTAACGCGAGGAAGCGTTCTTAGCTCACGAAAGCTTAGTAAACTGCTCGTAAACTTTTTTTACCGTGGTTTTATGGACGCTTATCATTGATCGATACTCCTGATATGGAAGCTTCTCCACGCGTTAAAGAAAAATTGCCACTGTTATTCGTGGTTCCTCTTTTCTTTTTCTTTTTATGAGCTTTTTTAACGACGAGCAACGGTTCCATAAAGACAAACAGAGCGAACGAACAGATCGGGAAAAAGAATATAATATGTTTTCTCTGACTCTAATTGCTCCATGTTACGAAACGAGCGAGAAAATCATCGTTCGACGGTAATGAAAAAAAAAAAAAATGCAAACTTCCAAAAAAAAAAAGAAAATAAGAA